TTTATCGATCGAGCTCACTAATGCCTTCGCTGAGTGGTGGTGTGTGTTATCTAAAGCAGGGGGAGAGATGTGGGGGTGTCACCTGGGGTCCCGGGACAGCGCTACTTCTGATCTGATGTTCTCAACGACAGAGATTGACCACTTCCAGGTTTGGAGGGCTAGACTAAACATATTTCAGCCCATCAGTGATTCAGCCAGCTCACTCTATCTATCTCATTAGAAAAATAATGATGTAATTGACTGTTGTTACAAATAGATAGTCGGATATTTATCTTTGAGCCTGCTGTTTGGTGATGGGCCGCCGGGCCTTTATCACAAGCCTGTCTTCTCCCGCTTGATTCATGGTCTTTGTCTGGCAGTGCAAAAGCAGATGCTGCTTATTTACTCAGAGACTGTAATGGCACACACACACACACACACACACACACACACACCGGTAATTACCCTTTTGATTGCAATTTATTGGCCACAGGAGAGGATGAGTTATACGCTTTGTACCGTAGAGGAATCTGCATCCGAATCCATCAAAAGGCTAAGCTTACACTCGCGTCTCAAGCCTAATTTTTTGCCAGCATGCGTTGCTTTGGGCGCAAGGCTGTTTTAACATACCTTAGATGTCAGAGTCAAAGGAGGTTTTGATTGAATTTGGAAAAATTATTTATCAGGCAAATTGAATTCATGTCTTGGAATGGTGTTGTTTCCATATCGTGCATATGTTCCCTGAAGTAAATGAAATGCATATTGAAGTTAAACTGCTGAGTATGAAGTTGGCCTACAGATGATTTATACAGCAGCATTCAGGCTCTCTCTTTCATAGCAGTCCTGAGAACTGTTCGTTTACCGGGAAAGCTCAGAATGCCTTTAAATTATCGTCTGGAATATTGAACAATTTCCTGGCTAAAAAATGTCCTCCTTATTGAGCCTTCTACACACTTGTCATCAATCACCCGACCAAATTTCATTTAAACCTGATTTATTACTGGTCCAAACGCCGCTGGGAATTTACATGCATGCACTAGGTAACAGACGTACAATATGTCCCATTATAGATAAGGGCTCGTTTTCCAAAGATTTCACAACTTGATAAGACATTCCACACATAAAACCCCCCAAAAGAGTTCCTTAAATGGATAAATATATGTGCCGTGATAGAATGACTTTTCAGCGTCCGCAGTGATTTGACTGTCGTCCCTGCAGATGTGATGGCATAAACTCACTTATGTGGCTCATTGTCATGGACTGCACTCATTTCCTGTGCTTTGGCCAGCTCAACTCAAATTTTCACATTAGCACATGATGAACAATTCTTTGAGATGTTAAGTCAGAGTCTGGGCTTTTGTCAAGATTCTGTGAGTAGGATTGGATTTGTTTCAGGCCTGTCCTATTTATTGACTTTGAGGCTTTCCGACTGGCCTTGAAAAGACACCATTTAAGCCACCTTAAAAATATATGAACATCACTGCAGTCGAAATCATTTTGCACATATTTGATTTATTATATATGCACACTACTGTACAAAAGTTTGACTTCAGTAAGATTCATTTTGAAATAGATTGAAACTTTTATTCAGTAAAGATGCATTAAACTGGTCAAAAGATGTATAATACAAGACATTTTTAAAACTTTCTCGATTACCAAACGTTAGTGGGTTGTTTGCAGATGCTATTTGGTTTGATGTACATCTAAATCAATAGCATTTTAGACATGTTTAAGTGTAAATGAAACATCTAAATACTTTTTCGGACCACTATGTACTATATTCTTTATAGTATAATTATGATTGATGTAAGATCATGTGATATATGATGCATAATACTTATCAAACTCTGTTCTATCTGATATGGACACACACATATAGGGTGCCTGACACAATTAGCCTCCGTTATTTGATCCAGCCAAATCCTGATTAATCAGGGTGAGGAATGCACACACATCTGTGCGTGTGTGGTGTCCACGCCTCATGAGTGGGTTGGGGTGCTGGGGGGGTTTGGGTTCAGAGGGAATAGGCTGTCAGCTGTGAGAAATATGTCATGGTTGTTGCGTCCCAAGCAGCACATCTGGTGCTCATTGGCAGGATGCTGGAGAGAGCATCAACCCCGACATCCAGGTGGATCTGCCAATTCTCAACCCGCTTCTGTCACTGCGAGGGTCTCCCCTCAGCAACTGCACGCTTTTCTCGCACTCTGTCCCTCTTGAGCCATGATTCTCAGTCATACTCGTTTTATTTTGACCTCCTGAACGAGGCTTTAGGGATTGTGACAGACATGCCGACTATCATGTTCTGTAAGATTTCTGAATGTCCACTTGAGAAGAGAAGCATCTGCCTGTAATCTCTGATGGCCAACTCGCATTCAGTCCCACAGGGATACACTTCCTTTTTATAAATGATGCATTTAAAGGGATACTCCACTTTTTTTGGAAATAGGCTCATTTTACCACTCCCCCAGAGTTAAACAGTTGAGTTTTACCGTTTTCGAATCCATTCAGCCGATTTTCTGATATTTAGAAGAATATCAGTAACCAGACAGTTTCTGGTCTCATTGACTTCCATAGTAGGAAAAAAATATACTATGGAAGTCAATGAGACCAGAAACTGTCTGGTTACTGATATTCTTCTAAATATAAAAAAATCGGCTGAATACATCTGAAAACGGTAAAACCCAACTGTTTAACTCTGGGGGAGTTATAAAATGAGCCTATTTCCCCCAAAAAAGTGAAGTATCCCTTTAAGGCTATTATGATAGGGCTTGGTAAAACCAAACATTTATTTTGGAACTTGGATTCAGTTGTCCACCTCTTACAGATACATGTTGAATGAAAGTGACAGGAAGAGGAATTTGTTGAATGTCACAACAAAAGAATTTCATTTGTCTAACAAGTTTTAGGACATTGGGAAATTACATTGATAATATTAACTACACGGATTGGTGATTTTTATGGTTCCTTTTTAACTTATTAGATTTCCAGTGTTTTTATTGTTAACTAAAAAATTAGTTGATTTAAATAAAGCTGAAATGAAATAAATATTAGCTGAAAAACTTAAACTTCCTGCAAGATAAAAATCCTCCTGCAACTAACTGAAATAAATAAATTGAAGTACTTCAATTACAAAAACACAAAAACTAAAACTTAATGAAGGCAAAATACACTCAACTAAAGGATTATTAGGAACACCTGTTCAATTTCTCATTAATGCAATTATAATCAATCACATGGCAGTTGCTTCAATGCATTTAGGGGTGTGGTCCTGGTCAAGACAATCTCCTGAACTCCTAACTGAATGTCAAAATGGGAAAGAAAGGTGATTTAAGCAATTTTCAGCGTGGCATGGTTGTTGGTGCCAGACAGGTCGGTGTGAATATTTCACAATCTGCTCAGTTACTGGGATTTTCACCCACAACCATTTCTAGGGTTTACAAAGAATGGTGTGAAATAGGAAAAACATCCAGTATGCAGCAGTCCTGTGGGCGAAAATGCCTTGTTGATGCTAGAGGTCAGAGGAGAATGGGCCGACTGATTCAAGCTGATAGAAGAGCAACTTTCACTGAAATAACCACTCGTTACAACCGAGGTATGCAGCAAAGCATTTGTGAAGCCACAACACGCACAACCTTGAAGCGGATGGGCTACAACAGCAGAAGACCCCACCGGGTACCGCTCATCTCCACTACAAATAGGAAAAAAAGGCTATAATTTGCAAGAGCTCACCAAAATTGGACAGTTGAAGACTGGAAAAATGTTGCCTGGTCTGATGAGTCTCGATTTCTGTTGAGACATTCAGATGGTAGAGTCAGAATTTGGCGTAAACAGAATGAGAACATGGATCCATCATGCCTTGTTACCACTGTGCAGGCTGGTGGTGGTGGTGTAATGGTGTGGGGCCACACTTTAGGCCCCTTAGTGCCAAATGCCAATTGGGCATCAATTAAATGCCACGGCCTACCTGAGCATTGTTTCTGACCATGTCCATCCCTTTATGGCCACCGTGTACCCATCCTCTGATGGCTACTTCCAGCAGGATAATGCACCATGACACAAAGCAAGAATTGGTTTCTTGAACATGACAATGAGTTTACTGTACTAAAATGGCCCCCACAGTCACCAGATCTCAACCCAATAGAGCATCTTTGGGATGTGGTAGAACGGGAGCTTCGTGCCTTGGATGTGCATCCCACAAATCTCCATCAACTGCAAGATGCTATCCTATCAATATGGGCCAACATTTCTAAAGAATGCTTTCAGCACCTTGTTGAATCAATGCCATGTAGAATTAAGGCAGTTCTGAAGGCGAAAGGGGTCAAACATAGTATTAGTATGGTGTTCCTAATAATCCTTTAGTTGAGTGTATAAAACAAATATAATAATAATACAGCCATTAAAATTCAAATGTATTTAATTTTGCTGTATATCAGCACACAATTTCAACCACATTATAATTAATGTTTTAATATTTTTCTGATTTCAGTTTTATTAGAGTTCTGGAAAATGTATTGTTCTTCATATATGAAATACAAATGTCTGTAAGTGTCATTTCAAACTAACAACAAATATATTTCTATCCATTTTTATTCTATTTCAGTTAAGTCCTTTTATGGTACTTTACCAGTTTTAAACTTATGGACAAACTGGCTTTGGACTCATTGACTTTCTGGAGCAAAACAGGATATTAGTTACACCTGTGTTATCAGATGTTATTATTTCAGCACACTTTGCCTGCACACTTGATTTATTGCTCATTTTTTGCCTATCGGCCCACAGCGTGGCTGATCGGCAATGTGAATCCCTCTCATTGGCTGGAGGAAATGCAAGCCAGAAAACGTTGACCTAGTAACATTAGATAAACGTTAGATAAACAGAGATCTGGAAAGAGCCAAACAAAACAGAGGGAGCAGAAAGTGTCCTGTCAGTCTCAGGTTTCTGATAGTAAGTGTTATTTAAAAAGCAGCTGATGTGTGTTATGTTGTCTTACTCAAAGCCATCTGTTTCCTTACCTCACACAGGCTGCTCTTAGTGCCTTGAAACAGCTGTCAGAACAAGGACTGGACCCAGTGGATGGACCAATCGAGGTGGAAAATGGATCATGTGACATGTATGTACACACAGAGCCGTAAGTACGCCTCTTCACCCGCACCTCCATTTCAGCGAGGATCACATATGTAAATGACTTCAAACCAGAAGAAATCTGTCATGTCTCGATGACGTTATAGAAATGACAAGTGCTCAGAGGCAGTCTGGGTAGCCATTGCTTTTTATATAAACTGTTAGGAGATTCTTGAGATGATTTAACGAAACGGACATGATTTATACCTTTTTCCTTTTAAATATTTACAGATCATCATGTTAGCAGCCTTGAAATGCTTCCCATGTGTTGTTCCAAGCAGAGTTAGCTTAATTTAAGCCAATATATTGGCCTGATTCTGGCATAAACCAGAATTAAATCAGTGTTTTGAATGCTGTTCTGAAATTCGTGATGTAAGAACAGTTCATTTCATGAGTAAATATAAGTTTATTTATTGTCACAACTGTCACAGTGTAAGTATACAGCACTTTTCGAATGATTAACTATAAGTTGTGTAATAAGGGTGGGGACACAAAGTAAAATGCATCATCTTTGCTCTTGAATATTAATTTTGCGATTTGACAGTCCTAATTGATTTGCATAATGGAAGATCTTATGCGTCTGTTTCGTTAATTAGTTGTTTTATGTAACCGGCTGCAGTGTTCTTTTTTGCGGTCAAGCAAAACAATATTCTCAAAATATGATTTCCTACCCCAAAAAGTGAAGGAGAATCTATACAGATATGGCGCTCCAGTTATAATGGTCGCTTTTCACCTGACAAAATGAACTTAAATAAAATTGGTGCCAGACGTCCAACATTCAACCCGAAAATAGTCATTAAACAATTGCAATAACTCCAAAGCTATTAAGTTAAGGTAAAAAAAAAAAAACTGCTAAAAAACTGCATAGTGCTGCTTTAATTTACTCTGTGAAAACTATGCAGTGACTTTTATATGTTTTTTAAGGAAAAATAACTATCATGATATATATCATTATCGTGAAATAAAATTACTCATATTGTCATATAAGATTTTGGCTATTGGAAGGAGCCCTTAAACTTCCTGTTTCAGTAGGAAACATGTCAGCGCAGGAAAGAGAACTACTTGTCAACCCATTTTATGTGCTATTTAGTTAGTTCACACTCGTGCACACACACACAGCATAGTAAATATCAGTGGCAGGTGGAGCTCCTTTTCTGATTTGAGCTGCAGAGACGGACATGATTTGTCCTTTAAATGTCAACGTCTGAAACCTGGCAGCTCATTTCACTTAATCACTAAAAGGATTATAGACACGCATACACACACACATACTGTACACTGGCTGAGCTTATCACATTCACAGAGTGCTTGATGGTCACGCACACACTATGCATTTTCCTTCTGTGGTGTTCCCCACTTCCCCAATCTGTCGAGCAGCAGTGGAAACCCTCACACCATTCAACTTCATGTCTTTTTGCATGATCTTTATCCTCCTGTAATCAGAGGGATTGCTGTGGGAAAAATGAATCTCTGTCATATCCGTGATGAACAGGGCGCTGGAGAATGAAATACGAGAATGGAAATGATAGACACACCAGAACGGAAATCACACCAACCCGTTCAAGAATATTTTCATAGTAGGTGTGCCTAGGAAAAGGTTAAAGAAATGTTTATTTACAGTGGCTTCAGCTTCTCAGTGCAGTCGTGAGCTAGAACAGAACAAAGAGGAAAAAGGACTCAGCTCAGCAGCCCATGTAGGTCACAATGAGAGGGGCTGATGGGAGGGAAATGCTTCAGTAAGAATCTTTAAGATCCATTCTGCTGCTCCTCACTGCTTTTAACACTACCGTTCAAAAGGACAATTTTTTTTATCAATATGTCAAATATTATTACAATCCGAAATAATGTTTTTCTATTTAAATGTATGTAAAGTGTCATTTATTCTTGTGGTGACTGCCGAATTTTCCGCATCAGTACTCTTCAGAAATCATTCAGATATGCTGACTTGCTTCTTAGGAAACTGATTTGGTGCTGTGCAATATTTTTGTGGAAACTTTGATACATTCTAAAATAGAAATCTTTTTCAACATTAAAAAAAGCCTTTATAGTCACTTTTGACCAAGTTAATGCGTGCTTGATGATTTTGACCATACTTTTGAATGGTAGTGCGCATTATGAAATATGAATTTATAATGTTTATTATTTATTTCATACTACTTAATTGTTTCAGAATTTGCCTTTATATTTATTATGGATTGTATATGTAATTCTATATTTTGTATATTTGATGTTAATTGTGTTATTTATTTTTTAATGTTTTTAGGTTTTGTATTTTTGTATTATATATTTATATTATTGTATTGTATTATTATTAGTGCTGTCAAATAAATGAATCATGATAAATTGCATCTAACATAAGTTTGTACATACATACATATGCATACATATATTTACAAACTTTTATGTTAGATGCGATAAATTATGTTAAATTGATTATTCAATTTGATAGCACTATTATTTTCATCTAACAGCATAATAATAGGGCTGTCAAATCGATGAATCGCATTTAACCTTCAAATGGTCTTTGTTTCCTGTTTACACTTCTGGGCTTCGGGGTCCCCAACAATTGATTGAGTATAATTGTACAAAAAAAATATACATTTTTAATCATACAAATAATATATCATTTTTTTGTTCTCATCTATTCATTAATGCTGTGTTTTTGGAGATATAAAGTACTTTTGTATCCATTTTCCACACAATTCCTCAACTACACCATTTGCTTGCATATGAAATTTTATTATTTTTTTATTATACATTGCATTTATGCTCTAGTACTAGGCCTTCATTTCTGTCTCTTTTTTTTGACACATGAAGAAAATTATTTAGTTTTTTCACATTTCCTATTCATTTCAATGTGGGGTCATATTGACCCCGAAGACCAGAAGTGTAAACATTTTTTTACATACCTTCAGAACAACCGAATCAAGCCCAGTTTTTTTTTAGATGAAGGGAACCTTTTTTTTTATTAAGTAAAAGTCGATTGGGGTCGTATAGACCCCATGACCCGATTGAAGGCTACAATAAAAGTTTGTAAATATATGTTATGTACACATATAATAAATATTTACAAAATTTTATGTGAAATGCGATTAGTCGATTTGACTAGTCGATTATTGTTATCTAACAGCATTGGTGGTTAATCATAATCTTCATTTGCAGCCAAGCGAAACGTCTGGCCGAGAGGACAGATAACAAACCGACTAACTCAGGCACCACTGCTCAGGACTGCAAGGATTCAAAGGCCGTCGTCTAGGAGCTGATCCCACCCTTCTGCCCCGAAAGCCCCCACGACCGCCGCTGCATCCTTCTACACGTGTCAACATGCAATATGGTGGATGTGTCCCATGAATACGAAATGACAAAAAAAAAATGCATTCTTTGAGTCTATGTGAAGACAACACTATCTTAACACAACATTTATTTACTCTCGAGTTAACTAAAAAGAGCAAGCAAGTGAACTTAAAAAAAATTGATAAAAATGTAATGCATGGTAATGTTTGAAAATCAAGGGAAATTTCCCCATTTAATAGATGTTTGAATATTATTTTCACCTTGCCTCGAAGTGATATGGATTTAAACAGGCTTATGTCATGCCATTAGTATAAACAAAACATTATTGGGGAAAACAAAGTTGTGTATCTTAGTTGGGGGGGTTATATTATTTTCCTTTTCTCTTTAATCTATGAATAATAATGCTTGAGTATTTAAGTATTAACCAATGCCAGTGCTGTGAAGTCGTAGTTGTTGTCTTCATATATAGTCACCCTGCTTACCGTGTATGCTGACATAAAGCATTCATCTATCTATATGGATGTACATGACTTGTAGAAAATCATACGCAGAGGAAAAGAAAAACATATACTACGAGTGTAAACCAATGGATAAAGCTGATGCTAGAGGTGAACAGCACAGGATCACGGCGAAACAGCTGATACACGGTATCCAGTTGAACAAACTTGCCTCTTGCCTTCTATAAAGTTCCTTGAAATGAGAATTTCATTCAAGATTCTTGACAGAAACACAAGAGGCCCTGCGTAGTGATCCGTGCCTCTTTAGCAAAGTCCTGTTTGATGATTGTTCTCTTCTTCCTTCGGTTTTGTCCAGCACATCTACACCTATGTTGTGTGTTGTATTGACTCGATACATCAACTGAGTGCTTTTAAGGACTGCATTCTGGAGAAAAGAGAGGCTATAGACAGGCTGTCTTTTCGAAACGAAAGAGTCGTAGAATTATCTGAAACTGGTAACTCACTGGAAGAGTGTTTTTCTCTCCCTTAAGATATACAGTTTCATAACAGACTTGTCAGTTACTTAAAATGCAGTAAAATCACATCAGTTCATGTTGAAACCATTGTTGTCTGTTGTCTTCTTTTCCAATCGATTTGACATTTTATGCCGTGATGTTTCAAACAGTTTCTATATATTTCCAGGTTTAAATGGTAAAAGAAAATCACACATTTTATCCTAGATTTTATGAAAGTACATAAATCCTGAAAAATTGGTATCTAACACATCTTGGTAAGTTCCGAATAATCATAGTCTTTGTAGCGACACAACCGGATTCATATTTTCCAGCCAACACATGGGTGTGAATTAAAAACCACAGGCGATTTGCTCAAGCATATGGCATAGTGCTGTGTCATACCTAAAGGGACTTTAAGCCTCAGTAACACATGAACGGTCATCCATGAGTGTTTCAGGCATTGCAACAGTGGCCTAAAAATAAATCCATACTTATAAGTCCATTTGGGATCACCAAGGAAACAGTCATTCATTCATAGCTAGAGGAAGACTCCTTCTCTATGTCATAGCCATATGTCCAAGCTCATATTCTTCAGCAAGGAATATGTGGTCATGTTATTGTCATTTCAGTGCCATTTTGCAGGCAACAAATGCTCTATTGTTAATAGTGTAGTGATGTATGACGTACCACTCAACACAGAAATCATTTTCAAACATAATGTGGTAAATCCATGACCAACTTGAACCCATTGCGAAATCGGAATGGGGAAATCTTTCGCCCTCACTTGAAATTTCTGATTCCCAATGAATGATTGGATTTTGCCCACAAAAACTGTTCATCAAACTGTAAATGTGACCACACCTTTATGTAATACATCTTAGCAAATGTATAGCAATATGCTAAAACAAACAGAACACCTAAGAAAGTATGTAGCTACTTGCTAAACATCACTCGCAACTCAGCAAATTGTATAGCAACACGCTAAATGCATTCTGAGCACCTTTAGCAACAATCACTTATCAAATATATAGCAACATGCTAAAAACACTCAGAATACCTTAGCATTTGTCATATATAGCAACATGCTAAAACACTTCGAATACCTTAGCACTTGTCATATATAGCAACATGCTAAAAACACTCAGAATACCTTTAGCACTTGTCATATAGCAACATGCTAAAAACACTCAGAATACCTTTAGCACTTGTCATATTTAGCAACATGTTAAAAACACTCAGAATACCTTAGCCCTTGTCATATATAGCAACATGCTAAAAACACTCAGAATACCTTAGCCCTTGTCATATATAGAAACATGCTAAAAACACTCAGAATACCTTAGCCCTTGTCATATATAGCAACATGATAAAAACACTCATAATATCTTAGCACTTGTCATATATAGCAACATGCTAAAACACTTCGAATACCTTAGCATTTGTCATATATAGCAACATGCTAAAACACTTCGAATACCTTAGCCCTCGTCATATATAGCAACATGCTAAAAACACTCAGAATACCTTAGCACTTGTCATATATAGAAACATGCTAAAAACACTCAGAATACCTTAGCCCTTGTCATATATAGAAACATGCTAAAAACACTTAGAATACCTTAGAACTTGTCATATTTAGCAACATGCTAAAAACACTTTAGCACTTGTCATATATAGCAGCAACATGCTAAAAACACTCAGCATACCTTAGCACTTGTCATATATAGCAACATGCTAAAACACTTTGAATACCTTAGAACTTGTCATATATAGCAACATGCTAACCCAGATAGCAAACTGACATTGAATCAACGTGGAAATATGACATCGAAACAACGTTGATCTGACATAGTTTTGCTCATCGAATTAACGTTGAACCAACGTCAGACGCGTCATTCTTTCAAAACTAACGGAAAATCAACTTGAAATCAACGCGTTGTTTCAACGTTATGAAAGCAAACCAATTTTCGATTTCATTTAGCTTTGAAGAATGCCGCGTCTGACGTTGGTTCAACGTTAATTCGATGAGCAAATCAACGTTGTTTCAATGTCATGAGAGACGTCGTTTCCACGTTGATTCAATGTCAGTTTGCTGTCTGGGAAAACACTCAGAATTAGCACTTGTCATATACAGTATAGCAACATGCTAAACACTCAGAATACCTTAGCACTTGTCACATATAGCAACATGCTAAAACATTCAGAACACCTTAGCACTTTCAAATATAGCAACACACTAAAAACTCTCAGAATACCTTTAGCACTTGTCATATTTAGCAGCATGCTAAAAACACTCAGAATACCTTAGCCCTTGTCATATATAGCAACATGCTAAAAACACTCATAATATCTTAGCACTTGTCATATATAGCAACATGCTAAAACACTTCGAATACCTTAGCATTTGTCATATATAGCAACATGCTAAAACACTTCGAATACCTTAGCACTTGTCATATATAGCAACATGCTAAAAACACTCAGAATACCTTTAGCACTTGTCATATTTAGCAACATGCTAAAAACACTCAGAATACCTTAGCACTTGTCATATATAGCAACATGCTAAAAACACTCAGAACACCCAGAAAATGTTTAGCAAATGTCAAAACCCCTCAGAACACCTTAGCAAATGAATAGCAATATGCTAAACTAGTAACACAATAGCAATGTGTTAAAATGTGTTAAACGTGCTAAGAACACCATAGCAAAAAAATAATTATGTGCTAAAAACCACTCAACACCTTAGCAAATGTATTGCAACGCCTTGGTAACACCACAACACTAGCTTTGTGGTAGTGAGTTTTGCTTTGAAAAAAAAAAAAGTCCTTGTTTTGATTATATTGGCTGGTTCTTGTGAGGAGAGACTGTATGTGTCCTCTGGGCAATGAAGAAACAGATCAATCTCACTGTCTCGTAATGAGAGGGTCTTTATCAATGACATTAGCTCCATTAATGTGGAAGATAATCTTTATCAACCACATTCAGTTTGGGAAGAAGAAACTCAAAACGAAGGCTGATGGATTGATTGTAGTTTCCTTTAAATGACCTCTTTATCTTTTATGTTATCTCTTACATACTGATATGGATTTAGCATGCATGCTTGTAGATTGCTTGTTCATTTAGCACATTGCTTGTAGTTTTATGTATATCCCCGATATATGCAGCAAGATCATTTTTTATCTTTAATGAATAACTGCCATTGAAATTAAATATGGCGTCATTCAAATGTTATGCCGTGGAAAGCTATAACAACCATCGCCAATGAGAATTGATCTGTCCAGTTTGACCCATATAAAGCTGTTAACTCTGGCTTTTTTTTTTTTGCAATGGGGAAACAAAGTTTATTGATTTTTCCACCAGAATTAAGTGTTATCGACCCTTTTAAAGCTTAATTAATTCTTAAATGTTACTCTACTGAGTGAAAGGAAAAAGAAATCCCTCAGTATGTGCTAAGGAGGCATCTCATCTTGTGTTTTGAATTTCTGCTTAATTATTTTCTTAGTGGGGAGCTTACTGCAGCTGTGGGAGTTTTGATGTGTTAATATTTCTCTGTCTTTGTATTAACAGTAATCTGTAATCAGTCAGGCCGATCACCCGACTCAAACGCCTCCGCTGCAGGCTACCGACGTCTTTTGCCTTAAGATAAGTGCTTTTCAACACTTGAAGACCATTGGCTGCCCAAAGAACGGGATGTCTTCAAGGCCCATTGCTATGCGACCAAATTTCTTGCAGATTTACATAATAGACTTACTCTTAAATGGAAACATTTTCTAGGTCAGTATGTAATTGAAATCTCGCTTGCTATTATCTATGAAAATGGGGACAATGCATTTTTTTTCTGTTTTGTTTTTTTAATTGTGGGTTTCATAATTATATAGGTAGTATGATATTTGCGGGTCAAAATGACCCTGACTGTTTTAATACAATTAACTGTCCACACAGTATTATATTGCAATACAATTAACAAAAACACATTACATTAATATTTTATAATACATGATTACTATCTTCTAGCACTCTATTTTTTTGCATTCTACTGACTACAAGTAACTTGGCAACTACAAGTCAACGTATTCTTCTAACCCAAACCCTAACAGTCTACTTCAGCCTACTAATACTTTAATGAGAGTTATTTGAAAAGTTACTTATAGTTAGTCTAAAGTGGACTATCAAAATAAAGTGTAATCCAAAAAATGATGACATAAAACAATTTGACAAATATTTTACCATTTAGGGGTGTAACAATATATTGTGTCACAATATATCTCAATATAAAAGTGCCACAATATGTATCAAGGAGAGCTCACCCAAAATCTAAAAATTACTTTGAGAGAGAATTAAATTTTCAGAGTTTTAGTGTCAGTACTACATTAAACTCCTATATATTATGTTGAATATAATGTTTAATAACGCAATGGGGGGATATTTGTGTAAAAAGTGGCCTACATTATTTTAAATATATCTTGTCAGTGACCGTGCAAGAATATTTGTGCAAGCATAACAGCTTCAGAATCATGAATATTTGTATTCTGGTGTAACTATTGTCCTGTGCATTGGGTTTCCAGCACCAAGTCCAAGCCTATTCATTGACACCCACAATGTAACACAATGTATCAAATTTAGCATTGTAATCAACAATTTTTTTTGTTAACCTTTTACCATATGTCTTGGAGTATCACAATAATATCATATTGTGAGTTTGTGTTATGTATCGAATCGTGACACGAGGGTATCATTACACCCCTACCATTTTCTGAATATACTTTATACAGCAAAAACAACATTTTTCCAATGGTATTTAGTTTGTGCTCTCAGAGGGCATGCATTTGCAGGGTGATTTTTTTTCCCCAAGTAAAACGTGGACAAGTCTGATATGGAAGCTAGCATGCTAATGACATTCACACAAGGAACTAGAATATTTAACTGCATCATTCGAATTATTTAGTAGTGATTTAGAGTATAGTTATTACCAGTAAAAAAAAAATATTAAAAACTTTGTGTATTTGAAAGAAGTCTCTTATCGTCACCAAGGCTGAATTGATTTGGTCAAAAATGCAGTAAAAACTGAATAGCAATGCTTTATTCTTGTGATGGCTAAGCTGAATTTTTGCCATCATTACTCCAGTCTTCATTGTCACATGATCCTTCAGAAATCATTCTGATAAGCCGGTGCTCAATTATCAATTATTATTGATGTTTAAATATTAATTAGCTTTAACTTTACATCGTTTTACAAACACGCTGAAATGCTATTGCACAAAACTTTACAAAAAGGTTTACATGCTAAAAAAATGCATTGTTTGTAGAACCCAATGAATAGTACAACAATTCCTAGACCTGGAGCCTCATTTACACAATTTTGATTAAAAACCATCCTACATTTGATCTAACGATTATTTTTCAAATGTTCGTATGTGTGATTCACAGAACGAACATACGCATGTTTTTTGCCTCGTTTACAGATAAAATCTCCCAATTACACAGACAAGGCTTAAAGGAGTAGTTCACTTTTTAAAAAAAATTATGTTGATAATTTACTCACCCCCGTGTCATCCAAGATGTCCACATCTTTCTTTCTTTATTCGAATAGAAATTAAACATTAAAACATTCCAGGATTTTCTCCATATAATGAACTTCAATGGGAACCAAACGGTTCAAGGTCCAAAAGAGAATTTCAGTGCAGCTTTAAATGACACCAAACGATGAATAAGGGTCTTATCTAGCGAAACGGATCAGTCATTTAAAAAATAAATAAAAAAGTTTAAGTTTTATAAGCACAAATGCTCGCCTTGCTCTGTTCTGTGATGCGGATTTGTGACTCCTGTTCAAACTTGTTCATCAAAATGAACTAATCTTTTTTCGAGTCATGACTCGAAGGGTCCTGTATAAGACCCTTATTCATCGTTTGGTGTTGTTTAAAGCCCTTTGAAGCTGCACTGAAACTCTCATTTGGACCTTGAACCGTTTGGTTCCCAATTGAAGTCCACCATATGGAGAAAAATACTGGAATGTTTTCATCAAAAACCTTCATTTCTTTTCAACTGAAGAAAGAAAGACATGGACATCTTGGATGACATGGGGGTGAGTAAATTATCAGCAATTTTTTTTTTAAGGTTAACTGCTACTTTAAGCTAGTCCCAGACTAAAATTCATGTTTGTATGGTCTCATCTGAAAGCAACTTGCTCTGACACATCTTAAAATATGTCAGATCCTTTGTTTTGTCTCAAGATGCACACCAGTAATGTTTATTCTAAGGCACTTTTGAAATGAAAGCTACTGAAATGTCATAATGAAACTAAGGCTTAATCTAAACCCTGTCTGTGAAACCGGGCCTGTAAATCACAAATTATCTTGAAATTGTGCGCAGATGAATGGGCTTGTAAACGCCACCTAAATAAATCATTAAAATATAAAATAACATCAGTCAATGTCCAAATACTTAAAGCTACACTGTATAACTCTTTTAGTTTATTCTTAGCTAAAAACACTTAGTTCTTTCAAAAATATATGTGCTCATTAATGTATATTTCCTTCGTTCAAGTAATAAAGTATTCTCGTGAGTGTATAATATGCCATTGAAAATACATACGGGTAAGGGGTTCTAATGTCAGTCGCCATGTTGCCCCTCCATCTTGAAAGTACATTAGCCAAAGAGGGACATACCCGTTAATTCAAGCTTCGCCTTTCGCGTTTACGTTTGAGTTAACACTCATGGACGAGGTCGAACTGGAAGCCATGTTAATCTTGGACTACATTGGCCACCATAGGAGTTAAAACGAAATCGGAATTGAGAGGAATAGAAACTAATATTCACTGGATGGTCATATACCTTTTCACCGCTACATGAGGGTGAACATCACACAGTGTAGATTTAACTTGCATTTACTCTGACTTGTTTTCTGGTTGACCACGCCCACTCAACATGCAATAAGTCTGTCATATTTTAAAATAACTCTTCACTGTTTTTGTGACACGCATTCATCACTTATGAAACACTCAGTAGTAGAAGTGTGAATATGAAGCATGGTCATTCACAAGCTTAGCAAAAGAGGAAAGATCTCCTTACTTCCTGTGATGCATTTTCTCTTGAAGTAAATTCATTTCGTAATCCCTTTCACAACTAAGCATAACAGGCATTTTGACTTGAATGGAACATCTGAGTCAAACAATTGAACCCAAAGTCCCACCCATAGATATAGATATGCTGTATGATGGATAATATAGCTGCTGCCTAAAAGTGTATTTTCCTTCTGTGAGCTTTTAGTTGGAATATGTCATGTTTCTTGAGCCCTATAGGGATGCACTCAGGAATTTACTTGCAAACTTCTGTGCCAAGTTCCTTAGGAATTTCTGGCATTTGCTGATATTTTGCGGTTGCTGAGAGTCAGGGTTATGAAGACACGGCGGTTTTGACTAATACACAAAAACCAACAAGAAATAATCTAAATCATTTTATTAATTTAAGTTAGGTAGAGACACTAAACATTGGAACCATGTTGTGTGCTCCTATATAGAGCACTCTTTAGGAAAGTTACAAAGAGTATTTATGTCATACTGTTAACAAATGGCAAAAATGAAGAGGTAGAGATTTTAGGCTCATCACATGCCTATTGGAATGTAGTTTAAACTCATGTGTTTTGTCATGCCTAAACATACAAAATATCTGTGGAAACTCAATGGTTCAGGTTTGTATAACAAAAAGGAAAAGCATTAAATTAACAAATGTGAAAATGCATCATATTCATCCTCATGTTACTCAATCCCATTTCATAATGAGTCAATTATTAAAAAAAATAAAATAAAGGTATGTAACCAAAACAGTATTTTTCAGTTGATGCACAAGTTCAAAATGGGCAACGTACTTAATATGATAATGACAAGAAAATCAGGCCATCCCTTTTAGATTGACATTTACATACCATATGTGGGACAAAATACCACATGCGTCTGTAGATTAAAGAGTAAAAAAATAAAATTCCTTCCCACCAGCAACTGGAAACAGTCCAGCGTTTGACCCACTTCTCATGATGTCAACAAAAAGAAATGAGGGGGGAATGCAAAATATTTAATCTATAACATCACATGGTTCATAACTGGGCTCTATCGGACACATGATCTCCTGCTTCTGCCTTTAAATGTATCGAATAGGGGAACAGTGGCGTGGTGCCACATTGAACGGTGTAGATAATGTTGGCAGTGTAGAGGAAAGTAAATACAGTGCATGTCTACACACAAACAAAACAAAAAAAAGTGACAAGAATTTACTGTTCGTACAGTAACATACTGTATAGTTTCACACAGACTCTAGATAATGCTGGTGACTACATTACGTAAATAGTTAATTACTGAATAGCTCATGTATGATTTCAAAACTATTGACACAGTATATAGATGGAACAAACTTTAAAAAAAGACAACACATAAATCAACAAATAAATCCTTAGTGTAGTACACAGCTTTCTTTGTTCCAGAGGAACAATATGGTAAACCTTTGCATCTGCCAAATGCAAGTGCACCAGTCTAAACTCAGTCTTTTCACTTCCTTCTGCTCTCTCAGTGGTCTTATCCTCATGCGGGTTGGAAACAGCGCCCTCTAGATCCCGTTTTTTGCCTCGTTGTTGTTCATCGCCTCTTTCCTCTGAGCAAGGAAGGGGTACATGCACTTGTCTGCACCCAGGAACCGGTACATGCACACGATTGCTTCGAAGGGCAAAATGCTATAAGACGAAACAAATGGGAATGTGTTACGACTGATGATTCCGACAATCTGGAAGAATTTCGAACTCCAGTTGAGACCACCCGTACCCACCTTTTCATAAAGTTGACCATGTATACAATGCGAGGTGTGCAGATCATGGGCTGGTCTGTCAGGATGGCCCTCATGGACTGTGTCACACAGAACTCTGGTCTCAGTGGAGGGAGAAATGGCTCAATCTCTTTCCTGACCAACCCAGGCAAAAGAAAAAAAAGCAAACATGATGATTAAGAGTCGTCTTTGTTTAATAAAGTCAGCCCAAAGTGCTTAGCCAGTCAGAGCAAGTCATTATTGAGTGGAAACAGATCCAGCATGCACCTTATTCAAGTGGAAGCCCCTATTGTGCGCATGAAAACCCAAGCTGACAGTGACATGAGAGGCCACAAGCAAAGCTACCCTGACTGTTGTTAAGCAATGTCTACTCGAACTAGATACGCATTGTGTCGTTCGCTCCTCTAGTGTCCGTCTGAAACCCAATCTTAACATTTGGACGGCTCCTTTCTTTTACCTTATTCTGCATCCTCTGAACATGCCCGTGTCCACCAGGTAAGGACACACCAACGTCATCTTGATACCGTCCTTCTCCGAAGCCTTGATTTCGTGGCTCAGGGACTCGTGGAAACCGATGGCACCGAACTTGCTAGCGCAGTAATCCTGAAACCAAGAGGAAACGGAGTTCGGTGAACATTATCAAGCTTCCCGAGGCAGTTTTCCCTGTGTAATAGCATGGGAGCGCTGGGATCTACGGTTTCATTAGCATTCTTTTGTTGTGTAAGGAGTATAGGTAGAGCCGCATGGGAGGGTTTTGATGTGGTTCGTGGTGGACGGGATGTTCAGAACAGAGTGGGCAAACACAGATGCGTGTAGATAAACACTCTGGGATAAAGGGGCTCACAGCGGATTGAGTCACTCCAATAATGCGAACCATAAAAAGTCACATTCAAGGAAACATAATAGGTCAGACAGTGTGATTGGGCTTCTGGGACCCTTTGAAGCGAGAGTAAATATGAGGGCTTGTAAAATAGAAGTGCACGTACAGCTAACAAAAAAAAAAGAAGTAATGTTTCTCCAAAAGGCTGCTGGGAAATATGACACCAGTTTGGACAGCAGTGAAAGAAGAGGAACACTCTAAACTCTAAGAGATCCCTCATATACACAGGCTGGTTTAATGCTACACCAGCACCTATGAGAGAGATCATTTTGGAAAAGTGTTTAGCGACATGTAGAGAGCTCACACTGAACAAATAGATGGCGACTTGGCGTTTTTTGTCGGATCAGTGCATTACTGTTTCGGTCTATGCTTGTTTTCGCCAATTGAACATGTTCAGTCGACATTTGTTGGGTCTTGGAATGCCTAATACCGTGTCCTAACTACACGCGACGCGATAAAATTCCAGCGACAGCAAGTTTGTCTGTGACTGTCCACACTAGGCGCGGCGTGACGCGACTGTGAGACGCACACATTCAGAACAGCGTGTGAGCGGAGTCTCTCTGTGAAAGCGCACTGTTGGCCCGCACTTGCATTGGAAATGAGTAAGGACATAATCAAATCAAGAAATAACATTATTAAAAATCAAAACATTAACAAAATATACTCATTGACTAATTTTGTTATGAAGTACAGTTGTATGTTTGCATAGAATTCATTTTGATATTACATGCTTTCAAAATCTGAGGTAAATTATCCGTTATCGCTTGTGGCACACTGACCTATTTTTAACTAAAAATAAATAATGTGTACTCATAACCAGTGTAATTTTTCATTCTGTCAGCCGCGGCGTCGCAGAAATAGGAACCGTTTCTAAATTAGAAACTTTGCGCGTCGCGTCTGGTTGGGACAAAAACTCTGATTAACATGGAAAAGATACCTTTTATCGCATGTCGCGGTGTCGCGTGCAGTTAGGACACGGTGTAAGAAGTGACGGTGCATTGTGAATTAAATACACACACGCACGTATTGCATACTTTAACTGATATCTGTAATTCAGGGGCTGATATATCAATTGGCTATTACTTCAAAAACACATTTTACCTACTGGAGTTAATGGTGTAAGTATGTGTGAAGCCCCAGTGGATCATGTGAATTTGGTCTCTGCGGCAGGTAAAACCTCTGAGCATCTCTCAGAGTTAGCATGCTCCTTAATTGGCGTGGAGTGCTAGGCGTGCTGTGCGCCGCGTTGAATTTCCATGCCACGGCGAGCCAACGTGGTGAGACTCTCCAAACACGCTCTCTTTTTATTTCTGTCTGCCAATAGATTTATGTGATGGATCCAATGTACTAACCTCCACACCAGCTGTGCTGAAAAGGCCCAGTGAACTGGCAACTGTCACAATGTGGCCATGGTTCATCTCTAGCATCTTGGGAAGAAATGCCTTGGTGGTCTGGAAGAGGAAGAGAGAGAGAAGAGATGGGGGTGGGGGGGGGAGAGACAAAGACAGTTATTTTGCTGTTGCTGTTCGTCTCTGCCAAAGCCCTTTGATCCGTTTTTTTTCCCTCCTCCCTGACTAATAATTCACTGAGACTAAACACTCATCTCCCTCATCCTGCTGGGGGAGTTTAGAAACACAATTCCATTACAGTCTTAAAGGCCATTTACAGGGAGCTTGCTTTCCACATGCACTTAAGAGATTAATTTATGTACAGCTCAATTTGTTTTGGTAGTACTAGTTTTTTCCTGACATGGAGGTTTAACTTGGATGGGAAGCAAACTACTTAAATGGATGAAGTATTGCATTAGACTTTGGTCTGGTTTCGTATTGGTCTGAAATGGCTTATTTAAAAAAGTGAAAACACCACTTGCAAGTTCACAACAAGTGGTTTGTCTGTGGTTTCCTTTTCTCACAACGAGTTGGTCCCAAGAGTGGCATCTCAGTATCAAGAGCACAAAGCCAGAGCGGCGTACTCACTCACCACTGTCACCACAATACGGCTCAAGACCACAACGTCGCTGTAGGTCAACAAAGATGGGAAACAAACACCACCTTTTTAGCCTGGATTACGCATTAACATTGAAACGATTAAAGAAAGTCCACCCGATAACATTTAAAGAGCCCCTATCATGGATTTTTGAAAATGACTGTTCATATGGTGTGGAATATAGCTCTAAGGGAATGAAAACATCCTGCAAAGATTTATATCTGAAAGTGCGCCGTATATAAAGTTATTGTCTTTCAAAAGTGAGAGTCGACTCTGAGTCTATGAAATGAATTGTTTTTGAAACGAGTCATTAGCTGGTTCGTAGTGACGTAGATACATAGTCGAAGTTGAAACTTGAAGTCTACACATTCAAATACTTCATCATAGGATCATGTCGAGAAGACGCTGTGTTCAACAATGCAAAGATAGTTCAGCCACTTTGTTTTCATTTACCAAAGGACGAGCATGTGAAGAATCGGTGGTTAGAGTTCATATTTGCAATGATACCACAACAGTATAGCCCGATTGTGTTCTCATCATTTTATTGACGAATCGTTCAAAAACATAAATGAATTCAAATGTGGATTCGCAAGCGGTTGTTCCTGAAGGAGGGCTCAGTAACTTACTTACCCAATATGGATCAGCTTCCTCCTATGAATCACAACCTGTAAGTATTAATAATTGTTGCTTTTATGGGTTTTGAACGGTTTTGTTGCGTCGGGGCGCGAGGCAGTATGTGTGTGCGCGTGTATCTGTGTGTGTAAGTTACACTCAGCGCAGCTTCTAGGTCTCCAATGTCAATTTTTTTTTAAATATGTGAAATCTTTATCGCTGTTATTGGAGTTGTCATAAAGAATAGAGCGTCTTGTAGTACTGCAGTGCTTTATCAATATGTTTATGCGTTGCAATAACTGACTGGGTCTGTCATCAGACCAATCACCGCCGATTAACGTCACGCAAAGGAGTGGTTTGGAAAAATGAGTCGTTGTACGAATCATTTGGGAGTCGGTAAGCAAATCAGTTAAAAATAAATGCATAGTATAAGACAAATAAAGTGTTTTTTATCCTTGCATGCATGTTAAACTGTTTTTGGGAACTCCTAAAACAAAAATAGGAACATTTCAAATGCTATGATAGAGGCTCTTTAAAATAAACTAAAGTTTGTTAACCACTCTGACAAGGAGTTGAACTAATCTTTTAGGTTTTGTAAAACCTCAAAACAACAATTAATCCATAAAAAAGTAAATTACTTGTTTTTTAAGCTTGGTCTAAAATGTAGAAAAAGTTAGCTTGTCGTTAGCTTGTACTAACTGAACACTTCTGGACAAGAAGAGTTACTGTTTTTCAGCTTCTCTGACATCTTGCCTGGCTATTATTGACAGTTTCTTTCATGCAATGAATCAATGTCATCTACTTTCGCCGATCCCTGCTGGACAAAAGACAGAGTGAATAAAATAAAACCACACACATACAATCGTGCCTCATCTTCCATTCTCTTCAGACCCAGAGGAAGTGAGGGGGTGGACACAATAATGATGAAAAACATGACCGGCGTCATCCATTTACTGCTCTCTTAGAAAGGATTTGCCGTACAAGCCTCACAGAACCGCCTGTGGCTTTATAGTCAATCCTCAATGGAACACGAAGCATGCTATGAAAGAAAAACGTGTGAGTGCCAAGAACAACAGAGCCCCTTCCAGAGGCCTTCAATGATATCACCATTTATAAACATGCCCAGTAGAAAAGGACCTTGGCCACGCTTGAGAATGGTACTATCTTGCACGGCTCTGTGTGCATTTCACACCTCTGCCAGCCATCTCAACACGTCATCTTGACATGTTGTTGAAATATGGAACTGGAATCTCTCAAATTGACTTCACTCTCATGAGGCAATCCACTCGTGCAATGGAGCGCTGCGGTCCACATGCTACGCATTTAATCCCTGACGTTAAGAGTAAACTGTGTATTTTTCCGGGGCATTAAATGTACAATTGCTCTTAATATTCATCTCATTGTGTTGGGGGTTCCTTCAAGGGAGCAGACTTGGACCGGTTTGAGTCTTTACTTGTGCCTTGCATGCCAAACTGATGGCAAGTATGCGTGCAAATGAAACATTAGGATAAATTGGGCCTGTAGTGCACAAATGCCAACATCTTCCAAACGCTGCAATCTACAGTATTAAAATGTGATTTGGAGAGTTTGGACTATGTTCTGCTGCCAATAAGACAGATTAGACAAGCATGATACGAGACAGAAAGTCAAGATTCAGGCAATCGAAAGTCTCTCTTGCATCTAATGGGGAACTACATTGAATTACTCTTGCTGCGGAACTTGAAGCCATTACAACTTGCACACTGGAATAAAAGCTATGTTTGAAAATGTGAAAGCATTCATTAACATGGGAGAGCATTTCAGTCATGAGTCGTTGGATAAGGACACCAAGTTAATTCAATCTACATTTATTTTGTCACTTGATCAAAAACTTACTGTAGATGGATCCCAAGGCAGTTCAAAGGTGGAATTTACCAAACCAGCAACATTACAACTTCAACTCACTGATCAATCAAACTCAATGTTACATGTAGCTGGGCTGGTAACGTTGGTTTTGATTTTGGTCAAGTAAATCAAGCCAATGTTACCAAACTCAACATTAGTCAAGTAACCGGAATGGCAAAGTAACCGTGCTGGTGATTTTGAGTTTGATTGGCTAAGAAACTAGGTTGGTAATGTTGGGTTTGATTTGGTCAAACAGCTGGCTTGGTATTGTAATCAACCCAATGACTTGATCAAATAGCTTGGCTTGGCCAAATCGAACATTACCAGCTTACCCCCTTGACCAGTAGTCCATCACCCCATAACCCCTGAACTTGCACAAATGAGCAAAAATGGCTAAGAGTCTTTGTAAAAACTCAATCCACTATGGAATGAGGGGGCCGGCACTGGTGTGGGCATGGCCTTGCTGACCTCTCAGACACAAAATGTGTGAAACCAAACAGAAGTCCATGTCTTAATTCATAGCTTCCGTAATTGCTTCTCAGCGCCTGAGTTTACGCTAAATTAACTTCCAACAGCAGAGAGCTTCCTTGGCCCTTGCAGTGGTTCTATGCCTGTTGTGCTCTCTAATTGATACAAGCGCGAGTGCATCGCTCATCACAAAGCTCTTCACAGCTGCCGTGTCAGCCTGGATTAGTGCTTATGTTTGACCAATAGGAATATGCACAAATATTGTCACTCATAATAGCCCAGATGGCCGTTAATTAGAAGAAAGTGGACCGACCAGAGAAATGTAGCAAAGCATTGGCCAGGTTGATGTATAGCCCTCAGAAAATGAAGTGGGGGCAAACTCATACGCTGCTACTGTATCGCTAATGTCTCATTATAATGGGGGGTCCAGATCTATGGAATCAGTTTGAAAACCACAATATGGTGCAGCCAAATAAATCCATAGGTGAATCTTGTTGGCTGGGAGCTCTATAAATATAAGCAGCCCCAAATCAAATAACAGGTACAGGTGCATTGATCTTAAGCAAGACCATCTAAAACTACTCAAGTAAGACCCTTCTGCCTGGCTGCACCCTTTCTCCTGGTCTAGCAGGAATGCAGGCTGGAGAACTTGGCTCCTGTCGGTTGGCATCTTGTCAAGCTGATCCCTAGACAAGAAAGCAATTGTCATATAAGTGGGTCAGGCAGCAGCTCCCCATTACCAGCAAGCTTGTGTACAAGACTCTCTATCCCTTGATGCTTTTCTCTAGGGACAGCCCCGAGTCTTTTACTTCAACCACGCTCACTTAGCAACTAGGAGGCTTTCACGGACACCATTGCGCCCAGGTGTGGAATGCACTGCTCACATATCGCCTATTATTGGGTCGACGTCAGAGAGGAAAAAGAGAAGCTTACTCCGATCAGCTCTCCGAATCTGACTAGACACTAAATTTGCATCACTTAAACTTTTGCTTCGCCAAGTACCAGTCAGTCAGTCTGAAGAGAACTCACTGGACTCAAACACAGCTGTAAGTACAGAAAGAGTGAAGGGCCTCAGCTGAGCACAGACAGCCTGGAAGAGATAATGGCCACACTTCCTGTTGGCTCCTCCAGTTTTGTTACATTCCCACCATGCTATCCAACAAAATAAAGATGATGTCCATCTGGAGTTTGCCCTTCCCGCCTGAAGAGTTTCGAAACACAGCCGCTGTTGAAATGAAGGCGCTGGCTGAACCGACTGCCAAGTCATGTTTAGTCTTTAAGAGGATGACATGGACCTGTTGTGAAGACAGGTTTAACTTCACTATGACCAGAAGAAAGGATTTATGTAAAAGTAAAAAGATATGGAAGGCAGTGGCTACAACTCTCTGAAAAATGCTTAATGGATAAAATAAATATCTGGAATGCATTCAAGCTAAAAAACTAAACAAATGCAACGGCTATTGCAAGCCAAAGAAATGGGCACACCTGGAAGCCATATTAGCACATTATGGACAGCTTAAAGACCCCATGAAATGGCTTGACCAGAGTTTTCTTGTCTATGTTGATGCATTTCCAATTAAAATACATTGGGATTGACATATCAATTAGGTGTTACCAGGGAGAAAGATTATATTTTAATTATGAACATTTCAATATTAAAATCAAAGTTAGTTATTTTCATCATTTCCATATTTTTCAGCAGTCTGTCATTTTGACAGATTACACTATGGTGATATATTGTAACTTGTAACTGTAATTCCCACCCATGTCTAGTTGGTGGCGAGCGTGCATACAATTGCAAAGATGTCAAGGCAGCAGAGTGTGAAAAGTTTCTTAACACAGCCAAACAGTTAGTTATGATGTCATTAATAAGAGGTGATAAAAGAGGGACTGATGCAGATGTGGTGGAGGATGAAGGACAAATAGACATCATTGATCATTTTTCAGGAGACCCAAAAATGAAAATTCTTTCTCACCCTCAAGTTGTTCCAAACTTGTTTGAATTTATTTCTTCTGTTGAACACAAAATAATATATTTTGAAAAATGTCTAACCAAACCATTGATGAGCCCCATTGACTTCCTTAGTATGTAAAAAAAAATACTATGGAAATCAACTGCTACCATCAACTGTTAGACTAACCATATTCTTCAAAATATCATCTTTTGTGTTCAGCAGACGAAATAAATTCATACAAGTTTGGAACAACTTGAGGGTGAGAAAGAATTTCCATTTTTGGGTGAACTACCATTTATGGTCGCCTGAAATATGATGAGTATCTAAGTAAATGCCAATTTTCATTTTTGGGTGAACTATCCCCTCAAGTCCATGTGGTGCAGGAGGAAGGTTTGAGTTCAGGCATATACAGAAAGTCGTTTGAGTTTAGTTCAGTTCATTTGTAACATGTTTTGTGCATATTTTAATAGTAATTGTCTTGCAATGTTACAAACCGCATGCAAGCAGCAACCAATTAAGAGAACATGTTTGTGTGAAAGAGAAAGAGGAAAAGCAGTGTTGCTGCATTCTATTCAGCTGGCTTGTGGCTTTAATGACCACATCCTCCGCTTGGTATTCCTTGCCTGTCCTTAATGATTAAGCTCTGCTTTCATCTTAAACCCCCACAAGAAACCATGCATTGCATAAAGCTTAAGCAAACAACCAAAAACCTTAATGAGAATACCAACTCTACCACTAACAAGTGCTTCTGCTACAGCACCACTGCGGCTTACACTGAACACCTTCCAAGTAAAAGAATTAAAAAAGACAGAAAAGAATAGATGGCAAACAACATGCTGTTACACTTAAGCTCAGTTTGTGTCCAAGCATTTTCATGCTTCATTTAAGGACTTCAGTGTTTAGGATGTGCTCATTTCCATTTGCCAATTTAAGAAAATTCTTCCCTTCTAAAACAAAGCATGATATTGTAACATGATATCTTAATCTTATCACCCCAAGACCATCAAAAAACATTAAGTCAGTGTAAAAATCTCATCAATATTTATCCATATATTTTTTTTCCAGGGGGTCTGGGGTGATGTATACCCTCACTTCTCAAAAAAAAAAGGATAATTCATCCACATTATTATTTATTTATTTTTCATAATTTACTCACCATCAAGTTCTTCCAAACCTCTATGCATTTCCTTATTCGACTGAACACAAAAGCAGTTGTTTTGGTTTTATTTAACAGTTTTTCCATACTATGGAACTCAATGGGGTCCATCAACTGTTTGGTTACCCATATTCTTTAAAATATCTTCTTTTATGTTCAGCTTGAGGGTGAGTAAATTATAATTTTTATTTTTGGGGTCAACTATCCTTTAACCGTCCTGCCGTGCTAATTAAAATATTAATATCCCCAATAGTCACATGCAAAAATAAATAAATAAATAAATTCACAATTCTCCACAACGTGACTTTAGCAGCATGATTTAAAACAAACTGCCCTATACAGCTCGCCCCACAAGGTGGTCTCAATAAAACAATGCAAACTACAGACATGCCTTTTACGCATTTACTGGCAAGAGGTTAATTAGCGAGGCCAAGTGAGAATGAATTCGTCCAAATGGTACTTCCCCAGGCAGGATGTGCTCTTCAATGGGCTTTAAATTAACAAACCAAGGGAGAGCAGATTGTTCCTGGTGATCTTACTAAAACCCCCTGCTGGAGTTGTCTTGCTCAGAGCTTGTTTATATCCAGATCAGGGAGCTTTGGAGAGGACAATGTTGAAACGACAGGGGGCATGTTAATAAAACCTCTCCGAGTGGAAGTATGGTTTTAAGATCAGTTCTGATGTTATAACTCACAGGGACTGAAATTGATGAAGTCAGGGAGGGTAATCTGATCCTAGATCAGCTCCCAAACTGATATTCTTCCTGAACGCGCGCCAGATCCTCATAATCTCACAGCCTGTGGATGTCTACTTCAGCGGTACATCCAGACTGAGCCGTAAATATTAATATTGGCTGCCACAAACAAAGGAATGAATGGAAACAAATGGATGACGGACTAAAAGATAAAGCGCCAGACGGGACAGGGGTGATTACATGAGGAATATGCTAAACTTATTGGAGTGTTTTAAGGGGGGTGGCCCATCTCAGATGACAGACATTTGTTTGCTCTCAACACCAGATGGAATAAACGACCGAGCTTCTAAGTGGATGATGAAAGAATGAAGTCAAAATTTCAAACTTATTTTGAACATGCATGGAGCAATAGATGTTTGCTTTCCAACTTGGCTCAAGCTCAAATACCAGAAGAGAGAAATGAGTATGCAGAACAGATGGGTGCATGAACAGTGGCATCAGGTGATATACCACAATCACTAAAAGAGGGCATTCCTCTGTGTTTACCCCACTTAAAAAGAGCTAGATGCACATTGACTTTTAAATGTCTGGTGGTTACACTGTTAGATCAGCTATTGGATATTGCAGTAGCCTGTACAGTTGAGCAGTGGCAAAGTAAAACTAGACTCACCCAGAAGTGTGCATGGCAATTCACCACCATGGTCCTCTCGATCAGCTCATCGGGGCATTCCAGCATGTGGTGGCCGGACACAACACCAGCGTTGTTGATCAACAAGTTCACTTCACCGACCTCCCTGCGCACTTTCTCTGCTGTGGAGTACACGTTCTCCCTCTTGCCCACATCAACCACGTACGTATACACCTGCGGCTGAAACGGAGGGACCTCTTCCACACCATCGACAGCTCCTTAGGAGACACGCATTAGATCATCATCATCTGAGAGGTAAAAAACCACAGCTTTCCTGTGCAACTTCCTCAAGCTTCATTTGACTATTTCATTGATTAAGAGTCTGATAGCATTTGGTGGGGAAATATTCATCAAGTAGCTCGAATGATTATTTAAGCAAGATAATTGCAACGATAGGTAAGCCTACAGCCTAATTTTTAGAGATAAACCGATAACTGGTTGTTTAATATTAGGTCTAACGATAGATGGTGTTCATGGGTAAACAAACTTATTTGATTATATTGTTTGCATAATTACACACAACGTTTAGAGCCATTCATTTATGTAGCATTTTAAGATTAACAATACATTTTTTTTTAATTGACAACTTAAAGGGATAGTTCACTCAAAAATGAAAATTCTGTCACCTGTTTACTCTACTCACTGCTCTAAACCTGTATCAGTTATCTTTCTTCTGATGAACACAAAGATGATATTTTAAAGAATGGTAACCAGCCATTGATCGCCATAGCAGGAAAAAAAAACCCAATTAGTCTGGTTACCATTCTTCAAAATATCTTCTTTTGTGTTCAGCAGAAGAAAGAAATTCCTACATGTTTAGAACAATTTGAGGGTGACTTAATTAAAATTGTGTGAACTATTCCTTTAAATGTCAATAATAAAAATAAATTAAAACATTTTAATACTTTTATATATAATAAGAAATATTAATATTAGAATACTCAATATAGAAAATTTGTACATATTATGTTTGTTATAATAGTCATGACTATTATTGAGAGGGTTAAAGTAAAAATATGGTTCTGCATATTGGACATTTGTCCTTATTTTATACAAAGGCAAACATTCAAGACACACAAAACAAGCTTATATACCTACAAAGACATAAACCTACAGGTCACCTGGGATACTTATACTCATTAGATAAACATAAATGTTAAATCCTCCAATTTACCCTCTTTGGACATCGGGTTGTCTTCCTCTCTGTAGATCTGTCTCACCATCTCCGCAGTCTCCTCATTGCTGTGGCTGTTGATGTCCCACAGCACCAGTGTAGCCCGGCGCCGGGCGAACTCCTTCGCGAAGAGCCGCCCAAGTTCGCCGCCCGCCCCGGTGATCAAACACACCTGTCCCGCTACGCTCTTCTCCTTCGGCCGTATGAGCCACTTGAGTCCGGCCATCACGACGGCCCAGAGAACTTTCAGAATGACCACGAAAAACTCCACGACAATGTTCACAATCATGTCTAATACCGTTGCGACTTTGCTTTAAAAAAAAATAACGTAATTACACCTAAAAGACTAAACAACCTGAGTTTTGCTGTTGTGCTGCTACCATTAGCACTTAATGTAAGTTATTCTTTAACCATCCGCCTATTTAAAAAGGCAATGGTGTGAGCATCCAATTAACCCCAACTGTCAAACAACTACTAATATACATATATAAAATCGTATAAGATAACGCATTAAAACGTCAGAATATAAGCGTCACACATAAAAGCACAATTTTAAAGCTTCAAGTGTGGATAAATAGAGCCGAGTCTCCTGCCAGCGAATGCCCGTATGAAAGCTATCGTATCCCGGCACGGATGCGCGCGACGGCTGCCAGTGAGAGAAACTGAGGCAGACTCCAGGCTGATCTCTTCAGTTCAGAACCGCTGATGCTCCTCGCGCTCTATTTAAACCAGCCCCTCTCCACAGGACCCCACAGAGTGATTGGCCCAGATGCCTGATTAAAATTTACATCTACTTAGGTCAGCTGTCGACGTTTGAGAAACAGAATGGATGTGTAATAATAACCTAAGGTAATAACAGTGTCTGACTGTGGTTGTATTGTCAATGCATATAGACGAATGTTTTAATTCATATATTCATTGCATATCAATGGATATGGTCCTATTTGTGTGTTTTTTACTTGTGTGAGCAAGTAGGCTACAAGTAAAATGTATAAAATATGCAAAAATACAGCAGCAGCTGTATATTTGTGACAATGAAATGTGTTATGAGCCCACCTTCATTGACAAGATAGTTCTTAAAAGAGTAGGCCACAACTTTACAATAATTTTCCATTATATAACATTGGTTAATGCATTATCTAACATTAAAGGGATAGTTCACCCAAAAATAAAAGTTCTGCCATCATTTACACGCCCTCAAGTTACTCCAAACCTGTATAAGTTTCTTTTTTTCTGCTCTAAAAAAGATATTTTAAAAAACGTTGGTACAGTTGATGCCATTGACTTCCACACCGTCACAGTCTGGTTATAGCATTCTTCAAAACAGGTCTCTAACAACATGAGGGTAAATGATGGCAACATATTTGGATGAACTATCCTTTTAGCTAACAATGAGTGATACATTTGTTTCATTAGCCTATTTATTTAAACAGTCAGTCCCTGGATGGCTTTAAGAATGGATCTGGACTTTCTAAGACATCTATAGATCTATGCTGGGTGGCTCATGTCTTCACTGCCCTCTACAGTTCTTTCCATTCAGAATTAGCAGTTTCTGTAGTAGCTAGGAACACTTTCAGTGGCGCATCTGTAGAAGTTTTGTGTAGCTTAAGTCAGAGTAAGGCCAAACTAAATCTTTCTATAGTTTGATGTGCTGTCTAGAGTCTTGACCACATGTATGGTGATACCAGCCTATGAGAAATATCCAGAAACTTATACAACTGCTCAACAGAAGTTCAATTGATGTGAATGAATGTGTGCTCACTGTGGTCCCTTGTTCACTATCATCTTCTTGGACTTGCTAATGTTCTGGGAGAAGTTATTTTCTTGAGGCCTTCAACCTCACTTGAATCCTTCCATATTTTTCAAAACTACCAGAAAGAGAATAAACGCTGGGGGAGGACACTCATTAGTCTCATATCATAGTCTAGGGGAACGAACAGTAGCCTATTATTGGTATGTAAAGGCTTCTCTGTGACTTTTTATATAATCATTGCATCTGTGACAAATGAATTATGCACTCAAACAGCCCACCAGCTGACACGGGTTTTAACCCATGAACAATGCCAATTACTCAATGAAACATTTGTACTTCAGTGTCTCAAAATGAATCTCATTTGCAAGTTATTGGAAGGCTCTGTACTTTTTAGGTGTAAATGGATGTGTCATCCATAATTAAACTCTATATTAGTTATGGACAGCTATCTGTGAAGGATTGCAAATATAAACAGATTACTTTTAGGCTAATTGATCTTTTTATGCACGTTTTACTTAATTTAGGCTAATTGATAGCCTAAATTCCAAATAGTTTTAATTCCAAATTAATGGGATCAGTCATACTTAAACTTGCCATAGGCTATCTATTAGTGTGCTATTAGCTAATGCCTTTCACATCTTAGTTTTCAGCCACATGTTATATGAATAGCCAATGAATGAACCGTAGCCCGTAGCACATCTGGTCCTTCTTCCAAGACATGAAGGGAACTGTCTGCTGCATTTCAACAAAAATGCCTTTACAAAGGCGCCACCTGTTGGACTGGAAATGTAATTACACATATATTTGGGAGGCGTTTGGTTAAATTCGAACTTTAAACATTTACCACATTAGTTTTATTTCAATACAGTAAAAAATTGAAGTACATAAAAATAAAAAAATGCTGTTTTCAGCCTTTTTACATTCATACATAAATAATAAATCCAAGCGATTTTTTTTCTGTTGTTCATACACATGCAAACTAAACCAACCGTACAACCGTACGTATATACCCGTGCCGTGTGTATTATTTTGTAAAATCAAATAACATTGTGAGTTTACCCAGAGACAATTTGGTTTACCTTCTCACTAAATTCGTGGGTCACGTGGTTTCGGTAGTAGTAAACCGGTAGTAACTGTGGCAACGTCGACGCAATGTACTAACGTTATCCGTTTCCTTTTTCTTTCTTTTTTTTACTTTCATTGACCGATAGGCCTATATTTTTTAAATAATGGCCGTAATTTTTAGGGTAAACCTGCTTAAATTGACTAAAATAACGTTATAGTCTATCTGACATCCAAAAGAGGAGATGAAGCCTAACACCAGCGTCGTTAGACCCAAACTGATATCACTGCCAACTGAATATCGTCTGATAATAAAGGACATTCCAGTCCAAGGACACAGGTGTTCTTCCAACTACATCTCCAGTCCTCCAGTTTCTGGATGCTACAAGTCTGCGGAATCCAGGATGAATGTTTTCTCGGCGATGGAGAAATGTCCATGTTGTCCGAGCTGTGAGTCATGCCTATGAGAAGCTCTTCAACAATGTTCAATACTCTCTTGATGGAAGAGTCTGCAGATAATGATCTGTATCTGGTGTTTTATTAACATGTACATTTAATGTTTAATATGAAATTGTAGATTCCAGGGATCGAGAGGCTCACATCTCTATTACTGATGGGTGAGTAACTACACTAACAAAACAATTTGATTTTTAGGATAAACTGATAATGTTGGTGTTTTTTTGTGTGCGTTCTTTAAAGAGAATTAAAGGGACAGGTCACCCAATGAAAATTTTGTCATCATAACTTACTCACTCTTAAGTTCCCGAACCGGTATGAGTTTCTTTCTTTTGTTTAACACAAAAGATGATAGGCCTAGAAAAATGTCGGTAACCAGACAGTTGTATGCAATGGCAGTTATAGCCATTGACTTTCATAGTATTTTTTTCACCTATGGAAGTCAATGTTTGGTTACCAGCATTCTTCAAAATATATATTTTGTGCTCATCAGAGGAAAGAAACTCACACCGGTTTGGAACAACTTGAGGGTGAGAAAATGATGAGAGAATTTTCATTCTGTAATTTTTTGTGAGGTTTTTACCTCATATGAAACTTCCAGAGAAAGCAAATGTATACTTAATAATGGCAGAATGAATTAAACCAAATTCTACTTTCTTTTTAGGTCTCGTCTTCCATTGTTAGCCAAAGACCGTGAAAGTAATATTTCTGGACGTCATTTATTATTTGATAAACGATGGAGAAAAGGAACGTACGCCGCTAATGATATGAGAGGTATCCCTCTTTCCATTCATAATATATGAATCATGCTGGAAACACTTAATGTATCACCATTGTTAGTGTACAAATTGGAAAAATGTCAAGAGAAACTGTCTTAGTTGCCTACTATGTGTATTATTCAGATTGATGATACTGTCACATCATTATTTGATGAGATGGAACAAATGTGTAATTGGTAGTTTCAGTGGGGTAAGCAGTAGATGGCGCTCACAACATTCACATATATATTTTGTTTACAGCAGTTAAATTTATAGTCTATTGGCATAAAATAATCTCTTTATATCTAAGTAAATCTGGGCAGGAAAATGGTTTTGCAATTACTTTAGATAAAAGTGGTCAAATGGCCATTTTCTCGGGAAACTTTAAAGGTTTGTAACATCAAAATAATTATTTTCCCAAGCAGACAGAGTTCTGATTAACCACAACCCCACAAGTCCACTTTCTCAGGAGTTCCATGTTTATCATTCTCACAATTTAAACAAATTTGCTCACCGCAAAGAACTTTCCCCACGCGACCCAAGACCACATGTTTACGGGTGAGTTCTTCAAGACCGCTAAAGGAAAAGCCATATTATGATTGTCTTCATTTACTAATATTCTTTGCATCAATTCCAGGTCTGATTATCTGACCTCATTTCCATCAGTTCTGTTACCAGCCACCACTCCATCTACCAGACTCTGTTTATCTCAAAACTATAAAAACAGGTAATACCATTTAATAATAAGGTAAATAACATTTATTCTTTAAATTTGACAATGCGTATGTGTACTGTTTATTGTATATTTCACTCTCTCTTTTCTTTTAATTTCCTTTTTATTTTTCAGGCCAAGGGTAACAAACAGAGTCCCCAATCTCTTCCCTGTTGGTGCTAACAACAAAAGTGAGCATTTCATCTTTAACAAGTTAGCAGTGATTAACTGATTTATTGTCATTTACCATGTGACAACTATGGAATAAAACATTGCAATAAAAAAAACCCAATAAAACATAAAAAAAGGTAATCGCAACTTTCGCTGACTTTAGTTAGAATTGTGAGATATAAACTCACAGTTGCAAGTTATTAAGTCCGAATTCTGAAATAATAATAATGAAGTCAGAATTGTAAGATATAAATTTGCAGTCCAAATTGCAACTCACAATTCTGAGTAAGAAAACAAAGTCAGAATTGTGAGTTATGATTTTTATTCTGTGATAACACCATCAATCTATAGATAACACTTCTAAGTAGACTATTGTTTTAAGTTTATTTATGTCAGTTGGTGCCGGTGAACTTAGCACATGGTATGTGTTATTTAGATGTTTTCTCAGTGTTCAACAGGAGAGATCTCTCACTTCACTCCTGTTACAGATTCAGAACACAGACACTGATGAATATCACATGTGCACGTGTTTTCATGAGCTCACAAACATTACTTAACACTTAAGTACACACACACCTCTCGTCCTCCCTGCCAGACACTAGGCCATTATTGAAATCCCCAGTCTTTTGTATGAGGTGAGGAGAGTGTTACCTGTGTAAACTTGAATAAGCAAACTGTGCTCTTGTCTAACCAGCCTGTGGGCCGGTAATTGTTTTTCAGGCCAGTCGTACCCTGATCCACACTTGGGTGCCTCAGCATCTTTTGTTCAGAGGCTCACTGAGATTTCCTGTCTGGAAGCAGAAACAGTCCGGCATGAGAAAATGAAGAGACTCCGAAAGGTCACTAGGCAGGACTCTTAATAGGAGTTCATCAACCAAAGAGGAAACACAATAACGCCTGAAATCACAACTGTGCCAAAGATTGAGCAAATAAAGTCATGGGGGAAAAACTGAGAGGTACCAAGTGCAGACACTTTATTATAACTGATCACAATACTTTATTATGTAAAAGTCTACACACCCCTGTTAAAACAGCTGGTTTTTGTGATGTAAAAATTGAAACAAAGATAAATCATTCCAGAACTGTTGCACCTTGCATGTAAAAAATACAACCTATGCAATACCACTGAAAACCAAAGTGACATTTCAGAGAAAAATTACTAATCTAAAAACTTAAAAGAACCTACAGTAACTGCATACGTCTGCACATCCTTTTAAAACTGGCCATTTGGCTGTGTTAAAAATTGACAAATCCTCTCCCGTGACCTCATGGGATAGTTAAGTGTCCATGTGCAGTTGTGTGCAGAATGTGCAGTTCAGAAGTAGTATGTTACTTAAAGACTTTTCTCCTACTCGGCTAACATACTGTTTTTTTAAATAGTGTATCACTGTAAAAAGAAGTTTGCTGTACATTTTACAGTAACTTACTGGCAGCTGGATGCCAGTAAGTTACTGTAAAAGTGTTTACAGTATAAGTACTGTAATTTTATTTACAGTAATACAATCATATACTGTATTAATATTTACAGTATGAGTACTGTATTTTTCATTTACAGTACAAGTACAATATTTTAATTTACAGGAATAATACTGTATATTGTATTCATGAGTACAACTACTGTATTTTTATTTACAGGAATAATACTGTATATTGTATTCATGAGTACAACTACTGTATTTTTATTTACAGGAATAATACTGTATATTGTATTCATGAGTACAACTACTGTATTTTTATTTACAGGAATAATACTGTATAATGTATTCATGAGTACAACTACTGTATTGTTATTTACAGGAATAATACTGTATATTGTATTCATGAGTACAACTACTGTATTTTTATTTACAGTATTAAAATTGATTTCCTATTATATAATTCAATTTTTTTTACGATTTACAGTAGAAAATAATTACAGTAGTAAACACATTTTTCCACAATCCTTCGCTATTTACAGTATTATACTGTTGGCACATTTAACAGTATTATACTGTACATATTGCAGTAAAATACTGTTCAAATGACAAAAATAAGTTACAGTGTATGGAGGCATATTCAGATGCAACATGAAATAGTACACACACACACACAGAGGAAGAAGTGAAAGAGGAGAATATGGACGTGGTTATGCCAACTTGGCACAAAAACATAGCCTGCTCATGCATTCAACTACTACATCTGTAATGAACACTGTTATCAGTTAAAACACACTGTTTTGGTCACACGACCGTGACAACGGCCATCTTTGAACCTCTATCACTATACGACGTAGGGCCACTATTTAGGAGCCATGACCACGACACGATTGGTCATCTTTCGCCTGGGACACCACACAATTATACAATGCCATGCATTAAACAAATATAAAAACATTTCCAAGGGATTGAAGACAGTTATCAAGAAGTACAGAAAGTATGCACAACAGTGACATCATCAAGAGCAATGTGTCCTCCAAAATTGATGAGAGGACAAAGACAAGAGGCAACAAGAGTCGCAGCTCTTTCTGGCAAGAACTGGTTACTCCTTCCATGTGACAACTGTACTTTCCATCTGCCTGGGCTATGTTTCGATTTTTACATCACACAGCTGATTTAATAGGGGTGTGTAGACTTTTTATATCCACTGTAATTCTAAAATAAAAATGGTAGAAACCCATTACATTTCTGATGTAAAACTATCAGGGATTGTTGAATTTGAAATCAAATTCACTTAAAAGTGCATTTTTGTATTCGCCAAGAATAACTGCCTTAACATTGTCTTAAACTACAGCATTTATATGTTGTCTATGTCATATTGCACTAATGGAAAAAATATGTTTTGTGTACTGCCTTGAGTAATCTTGAACTTTTTAAGAAAGTACTTATAATGTAATTATGATCATGCAACAAACATTTATTTGTCAAAGAAGCAAGTTGCTTCAACATCTTCAAAATGTTATTTTATTAGTGGCTCTTGGAACTGCACTATTAAACATTCTGAAACTGTAAATCTTTGATTCACATTTTCAATATTGTATACCAGACAGTGTGTTTTAGCTGATAACACAGTGTTCGTTAGATGCTGCAGTACATGTAGTTGAATGCAGGTGCAGGCTGAGTGTGTGTTAGAGAGCGTGAGAGTGTCTTTTGTCGGAAGGAAAAGGGCCAGGTTGATTCAGTTCAAGACTAGGTTGGCACATTCTGGGCAGAGAGAAGAGAGATAATGTCATTTGGCTTCAAGACTTTATTACAGGAGCCACCTAATGAAAAGCTATGAATAATCCTTATTATTATTATTAATCAGTCAATAAATATATTTGTATATACTGTAAAAAAAAATTGTTGGTTTAACTTAAAAAAGTAAGTAACCTGGTTGCCTTAAAATTTTAAGTTCATTGAATTGGAAAAAAGTGAGTTATCATCAGAAACTCAAAATTATATGTTATCTGAACTAAATAAATTATTTAAGTTGATTTGACAAAAGAACAAAATGTTGTGATTACTACACTGTAAAAAAAATATTGTTGGTTTAGCTTAAAAAAGTAAGTAACCTGGGTTGCCTTAAAATTTTAAGTTGATTGAACTGGGAAAAGTGAGTTAATACAATGGAGATTAATTTAATCATCAGAAACTCAAAATAATAAGTTATCTCAACTAAATAAATTATTATAAAGTTGATTTGACAAAAGAAAATATGTTGTGACAACAAATCTTGAAAATATATTTTTTTACAGTGTACAATTTTAATGGTAATGATTTCCAGAGGGTTGATTATTATTAGTATTATTATTTTTATGAATAAATAAATCAATTATTTGTTTAAATTGTAATGATTTTTAGAGGGTTGATTATTATTATTATCATAGTTATATTTGTTTGAAATGGTAATGCTTTGTAGAGGGTTGTTTATTATTAATTAATTGTTTAAATTATTAGTGTAAAATGGTAATGATGTATAGAGGGTTGGTTCATTATTATTATTATTATTCTTAAATAAATAAATAATGTAATTTTCTTAATTTCTTTTAATGGTTATGATTTATAAAGTGTTGTTTATTGTTATTATTAATCAACAAATTAATTACATAATTTATTTGTTTAAAATGGTAATGATTTATTTATTTCATTATTGTTTTATTCAAGAAATGCATTAAATTATTTATATATTTTTAAATAGTAATGATAGAGTTGTTTATTATTATTTTATTAATTAATAAATGATTACATGATTTGTTTGTTTAAAACGGTAATGATCTATACAGGGCAATATATTAATTAATTTATTATTTGCTTAATAGAGGGTTTTACTATTAATATTATGAATCATTAAATTGATTCAATAATTTATTATTTGTTTAAAATGCTAATGATTTCTTGGGTTGTTTATTATTATTATTATCACTAACAATGAAACGATTGAATTACTTACTGTATCTGTCTGGAGACATGAAAAGTGTGTTTCAGACATTAGCTGTAAAGTGATCAAGCTGCTCAAGCACTTTTTTTTCAGTGAGTCCTGGCTTTAGTCAACTTTAGTCAATCAAAATGACTCCGAACAAACAGTAAACAAAGAGTCCTTTAATAAAAGGCTGCCGTTGACCTTCCCACAAGCACATTATCATTTCAGTTCAGCTCCTTTTAACTCACTCCAAATCAGCATGACTCACTACAGTTCAGAGCTTATAGCCCCGTTTCTCGTCTTCCTAGTTAAAAAAATTAATGCCTACCTTTAAATACTTGATAAAGTGATAATCGTTATAAAGATTTGAATTAGAATGAGGACCGGTGAAAAGTATTCATGTGCCTCTTTAGTGTCGATATTTGGCTTTTGTGATCCATAAAATGACCATGAGGTTTCTGTGCACTGGGAAGGAATGCGACCCAGTCAGGTTAATGGTAATGATATACTTCAGTAAGTTCACTCAGAGAGAGTAGACAGTGTCCTCCTCTATCTTCATGAATCTGAGAATGGAGACGGTGCCCAAGCCAAACCTAAACACAGCCAAATCCACAAATCAAAAGGCCCAGATTTGGCAAGAGTTTTGAGGGTTTGCTCAATAGAACGGTTCAAAAGTCCAGTTCAGAGAATGACTTTGATATCAGGTGACATCAATATGTCCACTATAAAACATAAGAAACCTTTTACAGTTGTCTTTTTCTCAGGTATAGGTGGGTGTGACCTTTCTTTCTTTCTTTCTTTCTTTCTTTCTTTCTTTCTTTCTTTCTTTCTTTCTTTCTTAATCTTTATTTCTCTACTTTATTAAGACACATTCTTGGTCGTATTATGAAGGATTCATTTTATTATAAAGAAAAAATGGATGTCTCTTTCATCAAAATGTAATAACTTGGTCTGCTTCTGAAACAACTTTCATTTTTTGGTTGACATCACCAGTTCCAGGCATCTTGATTGGTAAATCATAATTATGAAATAAAAAGTCATAATTATGGCATAACAAGTCAAAATTATAATAAGTCATATTTATGAATTTGAACCACACAGTGTTGGCAAATTGACACAAAAAGTCTAAATTATAACAAAAGGTCAAAATAAACATTTTAACATTTCAAAATTTTACATGATAATTATGACTTTTTATCTATCGCTCCTAAATTTAAACTTTTTGTCATAATTGTAACTCTTTATGTCATATATGACTTAATATAGTTAAAAGTAATATATCATTTATAGACTTTTTAATGATTTGATTATGATTTACCAAAGCATTTTCTTATGTTGCAGAAATATATCTTAAACCAAATATAAATGGATTAAAGGCCATTCAAAATCTAAATCGGAGTATGCTATTTTCTTATATCTTAATTTAATAATGTCTTAATTTTCACTTTACGTCATAATTCTGACTTTTTGTCTAATAATTTTAACTTTTTTTATAACTTCATTTCAATTCTTTATCTGTCATTTAATCCAAATAAAAATGATGAAATGCCATTAAAGGAGTAGTTCACTTTTTAAAAAACTTTTGCTGATAATTTACTCACCCCCATGTCATCCAAGATGTCCATGTCTTTCTTTCTTCAGTCGAAAAGAAATTAAGGTTTTTGATGAAAACATTCCAGGATTTTATCCATGTAATGGAGCATATAATGGGAACCAAAGGTTCAAGGTCCAAATGAGAGTTTCAGTGCAGCTTCAAAGGACTTTAAACAACACCAGACGATGAAAAAGGGTCTTATCAAGCGAAACGGATCAGTCATTTAAAAAAAATAATAAAAAAAATTAAGTTTTATAAGCAAAAATGCTCGCCTTGCTCTGTTCTGTGATGAGCGTTCGTGAATTTCCTGTTCGAACTCGTTCATCAAAATGAACAAATCTTTTTTCGAGTCATGACTCGAAGGGTCCTGGATAAGACCCTTATTCATCGTCTGGAATCGTTTAAAGCCCTTTGAAGCTGCACTGAATCTCTCATTTGGACCTTGAACCATTTGGTTCCCAATTAAGTCCATTATATGGAGAAAATCCTGGAATGTTTTCATCAAAAACCTTAATTTCTTTTCGACTGAAGAAAGAAAGACGTCGACATCTTGGATGACATGGGGTGAGTAAATTATCAGCAAAAGTTTTTTTTTTTTAAAAAGTGAACTACTCCTTTAAAAGTCTTAAACTGAGTAGGATGATATAAAACAGTGTTCTAAATCATAGACTTGCAACTTGCACTCATCAAGATTAGTATTTAAACGAGGTTTGACTAATCACATTTATCTTTTTCATTAAATGACAGTTGCAGATATTGGACATATTGACCTTGTTCAGAGAACATCCATACAACTTTACAAGCTTCCCTCATGTGATAATGATGAGTAAACAACATCACAAAAGTAATGAAGAAAACAAGAGCTGGGGTTACTGGTCCACTGGTATGTCTATAAAAATGGCGGAACAAATATTGTTTTTAAATATTCATGGCAAATATAGTTTACCCTTCTATATGCACTCTGGTTCTGATGTCTATGACAAACAGACTCTATTCTGTCCATTGTCAACAATGAGGGCACACCTGCACCTTAGACAAACAGAAACGGGAGTCTGGTTCACTACATTATCAAGAGCCGAGTCAACAAGCCATCAGACTGTACAGAAGGAAACTGCCTTACTAAACTCAGTTCAGAGAAAATAACCAGTCCTGATATAATGCAGAGGTTTTCAACCTTAGGGTGTCTGTGGAAAACTGGACAGAGAAGTTTTTTTTTTGTACTCTAATGTGTACTCATTTTTTTCTATTCTTCTATTCAGCAAGGAGGATGTATTAAATTGATCAAAAGTGACAGTAAATACATTTATAATGTTACAAAAAATTTCTTTTTCAAATCAATTCTGTTCTTTTCAACTTTCTATTAATCAAATATTTCTGAAAAAGTATCTAATTTTCCACAAAAATGACAAGCGTTTTAAAAATTGATTATTAATGTTACTTGAGCACCAAATCTGAAATCTGAATGGCTGCTGAAAATTCATATTCAATCACAGGAATAAATTATATTTAAAAATATAAAACAGTAACTTTAACTTGTAATAATATTACAAAATATTACTGTTTCTATATTTTAATCAAATAAATGCAGTGTTGGTGAGCATAAACCTTTTTTACAAACATTAATAAATCTTACCACAATACTTTGAACAGTAGAGTAAATGAAAATGTATAAACAGCGTTATATTAGCATTGGTGAAATCTTTGCAAAGATGCTGTCATTTTTAGGGTTCCTCTGGCACCACTGCTATGGGACAGGTTTGATTTAGTGTTTATTTGCATTGGTTGGCAATTTGTTTCCAGGACGGTTTTGTCAGGAGGCTGTGGTATGCATAACACTGACATGACCCCACATAACACTCTTTCACTTATTCACAATAAACACTAACCACTCTTACACACACAATGCATCTTAATGCAATTAAACATGCTTAATGCAAAAAGTCAAATGAATGACGTGAAAGAACCTGTATCTCAGACTCGATGGAGTCTGCAAAACTAAAGACAGGGACTCTTTTTCAAACATTTTTTAAGAGACAGCAGGGAATCCAGGCACATAAATACAGTGTTCTGGTAAATAATAATGGACTTTTGCTCCCCTTTAAATGTATCTAAAAGGAAACCTGCGCAGAGATGTATTTCTCAAGCATGCAATTTTCAAAATAAAATAGATGGCTGATGCTAGATGAGCTTGCATGAATCATGGTCAAATTTTGTCCATGATTTTCATTTTTGTCCACACAGCGAGTGGCAAAACGTATATAAATAATAACAAATCTGTAAAAATTAACCAAATTGCACCAGTGGGTTAGCAAAACATCCTTAGAACATATTTTTGCTAACTGGGATGGTGATATTGATGATGATGATGTTAAAAAGTGTTACTTTTGCTTGAACTGGCTCCCTTGTTACACTGAACAATCAAAGCAGTCGAGACTGCCGGCAGTCTCAACAGATCTCCTAGACTAGAGGATAATTCTCACTAATATCCCGTCTTTCCCTTGATCCTGCTCTCTGTGCATGAGCAGACCCTCATTCCTCTCATGATTAGTCTGAGTTCCCTGTGGAGGGCACAACAGTCTGAACCAAAAAAAAGTCTGGCCAAAACATCGACATTTTCATGCCTTCTGAGATGTTTCCTAGCTAACAGGAAACTTTCTAAAAACTTTGGCTAAATTAAAATACCCCCACATCATCACATACCTTCGCCATACCTATAGATTTGCATGGTTTTATTTCAGTTAGCCTAATAGCTGGTACAATTTGTATTGAGAGATGAAAGTACCCCATGCCAATCTCTAGGCATGGTGAAGGGTGTGTGATGATGTGGGGATATTTTATTTAATCACCATCGTATATCAGGCCAGCAGACATTAGTATGTTAAGATTTATACTATTAAATGTGTACTACACTTTAGTATTAGTATTGTAGCCTACTAAAAACATACTCAAGTACATTTAATACTTTTCACCTGGGTTATAACCCATTTTAATATTTAAACAACCTAGTAATTGTTTTTCAATTACAAGTTGCCTCTAATTAGGGCATGACTACCTATATTACACTATTTGATACTATTGGTACAATGTCATTGTGGGTTTTGGTTCTTTTGCTGTTGTAGGCTGTAAGGACCTTTGAAATAACTTCAATAATTTGACGAAGTGACAACCCGATCTCACAGAAATTCGTACAAATTTTACGAGGTGACTAATTTACTAACAATTCGTACAACCTCACTCATACAAATTAGAGCAATTTTTGCGAAAAGTTGGCAAATTCGTATGAATTCGTATGAATGACCTACCCCTGACCCCACCCCTAAACCTACCCATCACATGGGTTTAGACAAATCGTACAAATTCTTACGAATTAGCCACCTTCGAATCACTCGTACAAATTTGTACGAATTGGTTGTGACATAGCGTTGGGAGTGATATAGACATGTAATACGGTTTAGACCTACTTGGAACTAGCATGCATTTCCCTGAAAATAATAAGTGCAACAGTCGGGTTCCGGAAGTAAAAGCTCCACTCATTTTCTCCATAGGGAAATCGATTTTGAGCGATAACTTTCAAACCTTTAAATACCGGCCTACTGTGAGCTACGAGGCTTCAACAGAAGCAAATAATATTTATTATCAACTTCGTAGCTCACAGTAGGCCGGTATTTATAGGTTTAAAAGTTGTTCAAAATCGAAACGCATGGCTGAAGTAGTTCCAAGCAGGTCTAGACCGTATTACATGTCTATATCACTTCGCCAAATGATTTAAGTTATTTCAAAGGTCCTTACAGCCTACAACAGCAAAAGATCCAAAACCCACAATGATACTGACCAAACAAAAAAATATATAAACAACAGTTTTTGCCTTGAAATTACATTTTATTTATGTTTGGAAAGCACATACTATCTTTCTCCTGCTCTCTGTCCAGGACAAATGCACAGACACACACTCGCACAGAAATGTGTTGTCAGTAAAATAGTTTAACTACTTAAAAGCTATACAACATTTTTCACTAGCAAGGTAAGAACAGCACGGTTCTTGAAGCAGATAAACTTACAGTTTCGCTATTAGTAGAGACGCTCTTCCTGGCTGAAGTATTCATTACTTGCTCGAAAATTAAGTTTTGGAATTAGCAACGGAGGCTTGGGATGAGACGTTTAATAAATTAGTCATACACATAAGAGTGTTTTAAATTTTACCCCCATTTAGCGGTGAAAAGGTATATGACCATCCAGTGAATATTAGTTTCCATTCCTCTCAATTCCGATTTCGTTTTAACTCCTACAGCGGCCAATGTGGTCCAAGATTAACATGGCTTCCAGTTCGACCTCGTCCATGAGTGTTAACTCAAACGTAAACGCGAAAGGCGAAGCTTGAATTAACGGGTATGTCCCTGTTTGGCTAATGTACTTTCAAGATGGAGGGGCAACATGGCGACCGAAATTAGAACCCCTTACCCGTATGTATTTTCAATGGCATATTATACACTCACGAGAATACTTTATTACTTGAACGAAGTAAATATACATTGAGCACACATATTTTTGAAAGAACTAAGTATTTTTAGCTAAGAATAAACTAAAAGAGTAACACAGTGTAGCTTTAAGAGCAAAAACTCTAATTAAATAAAACTCTCTTGTGAAACCTGACTCTGATTGAGTTACGGCACTGCAATCCAATGTACTGATTAGACAAGAACTCATTCAATAACTCAATTATCGCACTTAATAACATTTCCATCACTCCAAAGAGGAAACGTTGCAGACATACCTCAGTTAATTACCAAACATAACATCCAGGGTCTCTTTGGGAGTTTGCATAGCAGAGGTGTATGCGCTCATGTACTGTCTGCTTGTGAGCTGGAAAAGAAGCATGGAGATGTGACAACAACAGGGCCGTGTGCTGCCCCAGGCTCTGTAGACTGGAGCCAGGCCAAATCTTCAAATTCCTCCCTATGTTTCCCTGCTGTACAAGCTCCAGCTGCCCGGTGGAAATGACCTGGGCACTGATCTGAGATCAGTTTGATGTGGTGTACAGTGGCCAAAAGAGCAGTACATAGAGAGAGAGAGAGAGAGAGAGAGAGCTCTCACACACCCTCCACTCAAACAACATTTCCCCACCTCTCTTTTTCTCTATCGTCCACTTTTGTGTGCTGAAAAGAGGGCAGAGACAAATGTTACAGACAAATCAGGGGAGGACATTTAGTTCCACAGAATAGGTCTTTTCTTTCAGCTCGAGCTCTCTGGATACACGTTTTTATCTGGGCAAACAGAAGAGCTGTGTGGCCACAGGAATTCCAGGTCACAAGGATTCCTTCGGCAAGGATGACTTCACCTGTGACAGATTCATTTCCTCTCCAGGAATGAGACCTGTTGCATTGACTTTGAGGGGATCTGAAGACGCTAACAGGAACTTTTGCCTTTTTGGACTTCTTTTTGGACATTATGGGGTTGTTGTCAATGGATCAGAGTTCCCTTCTGGCGGTGGTCGCTCTTTTTGGGATGCACCACTTTGCTGAAGGGGGATGCTCAGGAAGGTGCTGTCAAGGCACAGATTTCACCTGTTTTACTACAGACTGGAGGATGGACCGTGTCTATGGGATGTGCTATTGTGATGAGAGGTGTGTAAAGACTAAAGACTGTTGCTTTGACTACCCAACTGAGTGCCCAGGTAAGTGGTGCAGTCATATTTGGGCAGTTGACAAACTGATTACTGAACACAGTAAAGAATATACACTCACCTAAAGGATTATTAGGAACACCATTATACTAATACTGTGTTTGACCCCCTTTCGCATTCGCATTCACTTTCGCTTTCACATTGATTCAACCAGGTGCTGAAAGCATTCTTTAGAAATGTTGGCCTATATTGATAGGATAGCATCTTGCAGTTGATGGAGATTTGTGGGATGCACATCCAGGGCACAAAGCTCCCGTTCCATTTGGGACGCATTCCATATTGGGTTGAGATCTGGTGACTGTGGAGGCCATTTTAGTACAGTGAACTAATTTTCATGTTCAAGAAACCAATTTGAAATGATTCGAGCTTTGTGACAAGGTGCATTGTCCATAAAGGGATGGAAAGAATGCTCAGGTAGGCCGTGGCATTTAAACGATGCCCCATTGGCACTAAGAGGCCTAAAGTGTGCCTAAAAAACATCCCCCACACCATTACACCACCACCACCACCAGCCTGCACAGTGGTAACAAGACATGATGGATCCATGTTCTCATTCTGTTTACGCAAAATTCTGACTCCATCATCTGAATGTCTCAACAGAAATCGAGACTCATCAGACCAGGCAACATTTTTCCAGTCTTCAACTGTCCAATTTAGTGAGCTCTTGCAAATTGTAGCCTCTTTTTCCTATTTGTAGTGGAGATGAGTGGGACCCGGTGGGGTCTTCTGCTGTTCGCCTTTCACCTCAAGGTTGTGTTGTGGCTTCTTGGTTGTAACGAGTGGTTATTTCAGTCAAAGTTGCTCTTCTATCAGCTTGAATCAGTCCGCCCATTCTCCTCTGACCTCTAGCATCAACAAGGCATTTTCGCCCACAGGACTGCCACATACTGGATGTTTTTCCCTTTTCACACCATTCTTTGTTAACCCTAGAAATGGTTGTGCGTCAAAATCCCAGTAACTGAGCAGATTGTGAAATAACTCAGACCAACAACCATGCCATGCTCAAAATTGCTTAAATCACCTTTCTTTTCCATTCTGACATTCAGCAGGAGATTGTCTCGACCAGGACCACACCCCTAAATGCATTGAAACAACTTCCATGTGATTGGTTGACTAGATAATTGCATTAATGAGAAATTGAACAGGTGTTCCTAATAATCCTTTAGGTGAGTGTATATATATCAACCGCCCCCCATTGTCCACAACAATATTCGAAGGCCCCATGACTTTACTAGCTGTTTGTTATTTACTGAATATTGATTTTTTTTCTCACAATTTATATTTAAGAAAGTATTTTAGATCTTGGAAACCTAGGAAAAAGTAAATGGCTATCTATAAAATGTATAAAACTGAATTATGAGATTGTATTTGTTTACATGACTTTTCCTAGTCTACGAATCAAACTTTTAAAATGAGGCAATATTCAGATCTTCAAGACCATGAGAATGTGAGACAAAAATAAGTTCTTCAACAGTTCTTGAGAGAATCAATTAAAATAAGAAATATCTTGATTTTTTTAAATAGGTTATTTATTGGTATTGATGGTTCCATGAAGAACCTTTAAGTTTTATGGAAATGGAACAATAGGTTCTTTATAGCTGAACAAAAGGTACTCATTAAAATGTTCTTCACACTACAGTATGGAAAACTATAGTTCTTGAGAGGATCTTTGGGGAATCCAAAATGGTTCCTCTATGCATTCGCAATTCACTTTTCTTTTTATTTGCTTAAAAATGTACTTTTAAGATTGTTGGGCCCCCTAGTTGGCCCCTGCCAGCTGGTTGAGAACCACTGATATATCTTGTAGATTTGTGCAACTTCTCATCCATGGCTTGTGTGTTTAGCTCAGCCGTGTGTAGTGAGCGAGTGGAGTCACTGGAGCGGGTGCGCACAGCCCTGCCAGCCCTCATTCCGGGTCCGGAGACGCAGCGTTGAGAGACTGCCCCAAAACAGCGGACAGGCCTGTCCAAGGCTGGAGGAACAGGCCGGATGCATGGAGTATCAGGATCGCCAGGGCCAGTTTTGCTTTCAGACGCAAGGTATAAATCTGAGTCAACATGGATCATACATCTTTTCGATATAAATGCAGAGTGACTTCCATAGTGTAATCATTATAAAGTTGAGTTTTCCATGGACAACATTTGGATTTTTTTAAAGAGCTCTTGCGAAACTACCAACCTTCATTAAAAAAAAAAAAAAAAAAACAAGTACACTTCAGCATACTTTTATAAAGAGAAGTTTTTGCAAAAATAATACACTTTAAAAGAATATACTTAAGTGCAAATGTTTTCAGACACTTAATTGCATGTTGTTTACAATTAAATGAAAATATAGGCCTATTAGTTAAAATTTATATTAAATGCAGTAGTTAAAATTAAGAGTGCTTTTCTTAAGAAATTGCATAACTACTTTCATTGTCATCGTTAAAGTGATGCACCGAAAAGCATTTATAATAAACTATGGCCTGGTTTCACAGGCAGGGCTTAGATTAAGCCACGAGGACTTACATTATGACATTCAAGTAGCTTTTTAAAAATGTGCCTTAGAAAAAAACCTTGATGTGGATCGACACATTTTAAGATGTGTTAGTGCAAGTTGCTTTCAGTTAAGACAGCTGCATTTTAGTCTGGTACTATTTTAAGAAAGGCCTGGGTTTTACCGTTTTCGAATGTATTCAGATGATTTTTTTATATTTAGAAGAATATCAGTAACCAGACAGTTTCTGATCTCATTGACTTCCATAGTATTTTTTTTTTCCTACTATGGAAGTCAATGAGAGCAGAAACTGTCTGGTTCCTGATATTCTTCTAAATATCAGAAAATCGGCTGAATGGATTTGAAAACGGTAAAACTCAACTGTTTAACTCTGGGGGAGTGGTAAAATGAGCCTATTTCCATAAAAAAAAAAAAAATGGAGTATCCCTTTAAATACACTTAAGTGGCCTTTTATGTAGCCTAATTGATATATTATCTTACAATTTTTAAGTAGTATACTTTTTAAGATTTGAAGTACTCTACAAGTGTACATTCAATATAATTCAGCACACTTCTTTTTCACAAGGGAGTATTGCTTTTAAAATGCCTTCTTGCTTATATCGGTAGAGCTTTGTTGTTAAAGAACCCAGTGAACTTCAGTCAGTCAGAAATCAAGGGACTTTTCAACTTGCTGGTCTAAAGTTGATCACTTAGCTGTTTTGAAACTAAACACTGGCTGTGTTGGATTATTTCCAGGAGCAGCATTTATTACCACAATGGAGTACAGCAAAGGCAGAACACATGATTTGTATGGGGCCCAAATGGATGCTGGGTATGTATCACCGTCGATTAAACAATCACAAAGAAACTGTTGATGATGAGAATTTGTGAGGAGAAGCCTGTTTACTCACTTCAACAAATAGTTCATTACTTAAAGTCACAAAAACAGACAAGTAATGAACTAATAACAATACAAAGGACTATTAACAAAGGCCTAGTTCTTCATATAGCTGTTAGCATTTAGCTAATTTTGAAAGCGACTCTTGAAACGGCACGTAAAACTTTGTATGTGAACTGAAACAACGTTAAATCTCACAATGTGATTTTTTCTTATAACTTTTTCTTACAATAAACACAATGAAAGATTTGAAGTCAAGCAATAATGATGTGCCCCACAGTTTCTGTATGGAGTTCAAGATGGAGTCTCTGACGCCGCATTGCACGGTGGAGAACAGACCCAATACACGCTGGATGCAGTATTTGAGGGAGGGCTACACTGTTTGCGTGGCTTGCCAGCCTCCAGCCATGAGTAACCACAGTCGGGGATGTCAAGGAGACGGTCACCTAGCTGAGAGGTAGAGTATCCATAATGCCACAGTGTTGTTTAGAGGACCTGTTTCTGAAGCCGCAACAACAGCACATTCTGTTATACGTTCGCTGTGAGGTCAGACTCAGAGTATGTCTTCGTGCTGAATCAACATCACAATTCATGAGATATTTAGGTTTCACAAAAGCCTCTTGCAAACTTTTGAAATTTCATGGGGTGATTAATAGATCATAAAACAAGCTGGGAATCTCACATGTAGCCTACACAATAAACTTCCAAGAAGCATTTTAGTACTGAATAAAGCAAAGCATGTTCTGGACCACATTTCACTCCAAATTCTTTATTGTGCACTGTATTAACATGTTAAAATTACTGTGCAGATGTTTGAGGCAATACTTATAAATGCATCACTATCTATGTTGCAAAAAAGAGCCATAGAATAATTCATAATAGTGGTTGTTGCAGAGATAACAAATTTGTAAAAAACAAACACACCACGACAAAGACATTTTCAAACAGCACAAATAATGTATTAAGCACAAAAACAACCTACTCCATGCCAATATAATTTTAATAGACAAGGGAAATATAATTTTAGGGGGTAGTGCAACTTAAAACATCTTTGTGTCCGTGCGTTAAAATGTTTTTGTATTTCTATATATGGAGTGAAGCTCTGAAATGGATTTAGTTTAGTGCTCATCTGCTCAAGCATGACCTGATTTTTTTTTTTACACAATTTATTTTATGGTGGATTTATGTAAAAAATTATAATTATACATATATGCAGTAAATGTGCTGTATTTACATTTAAATACAAGAATTCAATAAGCTTATGCTTCTTTACGGACATGGTTCAAAAGGTATAAATGGCTTTAATTTGAGGACTAAGAACTGTACAGGTTTATAAATAATGAGAGGAAAGCACAATGCATAATTACTCCTAAAGATCATGATGAAGTACCTACTTGTAATTACCAAATCCTTCTGAAGGAATTACTGATTATTTGGAACAGTATTCTAAAGTGAAAAGCATAACTCCCTAGTAATCACTTAATCATTGCAAGCTTGATAGTAATGACTTAAGTGTTTCTACATCCTTCTAAAGGAATCACTGGCCATATGAATCAGAATATTAAAATAAAGATCATGGTAACGCACTAATAAAGTCTCAAGTATTACCAAATCCATCAGAAGCAATGACTATGCAAAACATTTGCTTTTCAATTTAGGATGCTGTTCCAAATAATTAGTAATTCCTTCTGAAGGATTACTTGCGTCATAACTACTTACCATGAGCTTCACTTTAGAATTAATTATACATTAATGTTGTATTACTCATTTGTTCCTGTGTAGTTACTCATTCTTGACGGAACAGTATTGTAAAGTGTTACCGACTCTCTTCTTATCTTGGCAGGGATGAGCTTTTACACTGGCAGGCTGTGGGAAGTCCTCGCTGCAGAGGAACATGGAGGAAAGTACAGAAACTACAGCACTGCTCATGCCCTCAAGTGCACAGCTTCATTTTCATTTAAAGAGTCTATACGTAAGAACGCTTCTTCAAAGTCCTTGTTGAAATCCACAAATAAGCAATATGTTCTATTACACATAGAAATAGGGAAAAAAAACATCACACATTTACAAACATTAAAAGCTCTTTAGTTTTTTTTTGTACAATATTGTTGCAAACTTTTTTTTTTTTTTTTTTTCTGTAAAAATAAGTCCAGGAACAGGATCTCACTAGCAACCTCTACTGAGCAAACGTTGGCCTTGCAGTATAAGCAAACAGCAAAAGAACAAAACGAAACACTTGAATGTTACCACACTATTCATCATGAACACTGTTCTGCAAAATAGCATTTTTGAACTTTTAATTAATTAAAAAAAACAAAAAACATTGCTGAATTTGAAATTAAAGCTTAAATAATGCAACCTTAATAGACTAGTTAAGGTAAAAAAAAAAAAAAAAAAAAAACAGCAGCAGCTCAGAAGTCCTGTCCCTTACGCTTCAGGGTTCTCCATCTGTCCTTAAGGTTAACACCGGTGCGGTTTTCAAACTCAAAGTCATTCAGGATCGTGCTCCAGTTGCCTTCCCCGTGTTTCTTCACACCCGTTTTCAGCATCCGATCTTCTATCGCTGTCCACTTCTGAAACGCACAAACATTGATGCTGTTTGTATGTTCATATACTTGTGCTGTACACACACATTTGTAAGACTATTTTTGTTAAGCCATTCATTGGTATAATGCAATCTCTAGCCCCTTACCCTAATCATATATTTTTTATCATAATTTCCAATGCCCACGGAAGAATTTGTTGTATGAATATCAGCAACATGCAATATATCATATAAGATAACCACACACGCACACATTTTCAGAGTAACTCACCCTCCTGGTTTTGCTCGTCGCACTAACATTGCTTTGTAATTCTGAAGGGCTACTACTTCTCCTAGAAATCTCTGTGTGGATAAAAAAAATAAAAAAAAGTTTTAATGTTTAATGTAGATTTATAAATGGAATGAGTTGTTCCAAACCCATTATGTTATTTCTACGGAACACAAAAATAGAAGTTTGAAGAAATGTGCATTTGTAAATAATAATGATGTTTTATGACACTTAATACAAATCATCTGTGAAAATAGTGAATATGAACTTCTGTATTGAAAAGATCTACAGTATGTATTTTTCTCATGGAAAAATAACAGGTTTGGAACACCACGAGAGCAAGCAAACTTTTGTCAATATTCCTTTAAAGGGTTAGTTCACTCCACAATTAAATCTGTCATTAACTACTTGCCCTCATGTCATTAATGCCCTCAATTAATGACAGAAATTACATTTTTGGGTGAACTAACCCAAGTTTAATAACATACAGTAAAACAATATCAAACCTTAAAAAAAAATCCATTGGTTGAGAACTTACTGCAAATGGAGGTTCTCTTGGTTCGCTCTTTCTTAGCAGTGTCTGGTTTCCACGGGTCACAAGTTTGTTTGGAAAGAAGTTTCCTTTTGTGTCTGTGACGAATACAGAATTGTCAATTTTATGTTTTTAATTTGTTTTCAATCATTAAAGCAATTAGTATAAAAGCAACTACAAGTTAGTATGAGTGATAAAAAATAAGGTGACATCATATACCAGCTCCATTTTTTGATGATTTGTCACACAAATAATTTCGATTATTTTTTATCTGTTGTGTCACTTACAGTGTAAGCCTCCTTTAACTTAGAACCATACATAATGATAAAACCCATAATATAAATAGGCCTATATAAATTTACTTAAATGCAGTGTAATTTCACACATTTGGATGACAAAACCTGAAAATGTAAAATTGACAACCATTTCGGTTATCTCAAATAAATGTGATTAGATTGAATAACCATGATCAGTGGATTAATCAATAGCAACAGTGTTAGTCAGTATGGTGACTCTTAAGGCCTGTTCACACCAAGACCGAAAACTATAAACATAACCATAACTATATTAGCGTCCACACGAGCAGATGATAACAGTTTCTATTAAGGGTGCTGCAGTTTTGTCGTCTGCCGCTTTAAATGCTCGGGCTCTTTAAAGCAGAAAGCATTCTGATTGGCTGGTAAGCTGATAAGATGGAAGGCATTGTTCTGAAAGTCGTTTCTCTGTTCTGTTTTTGTTAAAACTGTGGAATCTGCAATTATTTTATAATTAGAAAAATGTATCTATATGTTTATCATTCTTTGTGTGAAAGGGCCTTTAAAATTCATATATTGTTATAAGGAAGGCAGCTGTAGAAATAACATTCGAGGCCCTCACCTCATATTTAGCACCAGTTGATCCTCCTGTGCCTCATTTCTGTATGGAAACACCAGCACCAAATAAATAAAGTAATAACTAAACATACATTTTCAGTTGAAATGTACATCATTTCATCACAAATCCACAAAAGTCTCTACAATTACAGATTTGACTTTAGAACAAAAAGGCATATATATATATGACCAAAAATGAAATGTTATTTTATTCTAATCAAAGACATCAGCAGTTTAAAAATGTTGTCGATGAGAAAGATGATTTTACTCTTCTGTTTTAATTGACTCTGGGCTGGATGGGATCCTCTCGCTTCTGTCCTGTTCAGATAATGTTTTCTCCGATCTCTCATGACGTGCTTCAACTACTTTTGATGCTGCCTAAAACACACATATACAGGTGATGAAAATTCACATTTCTTGTAATAAGCAGCAAAACACAGTCAAAGTACCCCATTAGCGGCAAACATGACTGCATATTCAATGCGTTGCCTTTACTTTACTTTTCTTAGGGGGTTATTGAGGGTGAAGCCAACAGCAACATTTCAGTACCCCCATAGAAACACCACAATTCTAAGAGATCATTAGGCACATTCACATTACGGTGAAACCACAGTCAATGAAGCCCATTAGCACTGGGATTCTCTTTCCCACAGGATGTAGCACACAAATCAGACAGTTTGTCTTGGATCAGTTTTTTGTATGTAAAACAAAAAAGGCCTCATACTTCCAGTAAGAAAACGGAGGAACTTTCCAGGCTGAATGCGTCGAGGAACACGTCAACGTTCTCCAACAGCTGGTTGAAAGTGAGGTTCATCAGAAGCGGACCAAATGCATCTTTCTTACTCACAATGGCGGTAAGCTTTCCTTGTAGTTTCTAAGACACACACACAATGATGTTAATTTGCTGCATTGTAAGAAAAGCATGTTAAACTGTTACAGGTAAATGCCCACCTCGGGTATTTCGGTCTCTTTTTCCAGCCACTGCAGGGTTTCCTTTGCCAACTTTAAATTCCCTTTGTTCACACACACAGCGACAGACTTGGACACAATAAAAATACCGTTACAAGACACTATGAAATCAAAATTCCAATATTTCATGATTTGGGTTTGTCAGTGTTTTTTTATTAGAGGTCGACTGATTTTGCCAATTAATCTTCACCGATAAACCAATTGCTGGAACAATAAGTTCAGCACAGATTTTTCCAGGTTGCTGTAGAGGCTGAGAAGCATCCACTGTTAATATAAAATATGCAAACTATATTATTAGTAATATAAATTATATTTAACATAATAAAGTTCAGCACTATTTAATGTGTTGTATCTGTTTTTATTCAGTATCCAACTGAAAAACTATCGGTTGATTTATCGGCCAGCATGGTCCAACCTAGTTATTGTAGGTGGTTAAATCCATTATCGGTCGACCTATATTATTAATTATAAAGGATTTATCCGTGAACATAATTTATAACATATACATTTTATTCAATCAATTCCTGATGGACAAAATCAAGCCCCACCCTACATTTTTCTTGTTCAAGATGTCTCACTCTTATATATATATGTCCCAATAAAATCCAAACTTCTGTTTCATGCTGACTTTAAACCTACTAAATCCCTACAATGGTAAACAACTCTCTATACGTACCTGAACAATCAGTAGCGTTTTGATCTTAGCGTGTAAATCTGCATCTGCCACTTCCTTTAATGTCTCCCAAATCGGCAGCGCTGACATCAAGGGAGTGATTTGAGTATAGCGATCATAATGGACATCTTAAAAACACAACACAACACATGATGGTTAAGTGTGAAAGTTTCAGACCAGCGCACTTGAACCTTTCATGTACCTTTCTTTATATTTAGAAAACATAAACGGTCAAATGTATATTTTTAATACATTTTCTTTATCATATATGGATTAATGTGTGTGAAAATGTATTAAAAGTAATATAAATATGATTCAAAATTCAAATAAATAATACATTGAACAGTAAAGAACTATAGTGAATAGAAAAAATTATGTAATAAATAAATAAATAGTAAAAAAATACACATACATACATATGTATCTCTATATATCTATATATATATATACATACATATGTATCTATTTATATCTATCTATATTTTTTTTTCTTCACAGTATAAATCGGTCCTTAATATATCAAAATATATAGCAGTCTTTAAAAAATATTTAGAATGGGGGTTGAACACATTTGAGGATCCGTGGCATCTAAATGATTGAAAAATCCGGCTCTAGTCTAGACAAAAAGGATTATAATAAAAAAAGCACTCAAATTTTCACTATATGGACTGAGATAACCCTGCATTTTGGAGTTATATCCCACAGCTGTATAATTTCGTGGTATTATTGAAAATGACTGTGTGTGTGAAGCCCTATATTTCTTGTAATAGAAACATTTAAACCAAAGTATAATGTTTTCTGCCACATACAAATGGCTAATTATATAACTGTAAGTTGCATTACCCAGTTGTTCCCCATCTATCACTCTGGCAAGGAGGCAGCAGATCGTTCTCTGAGAGGAAGGATCTGACCTGTGGGAACATGACTCGAGTTCATCCACCAAAGCTGAGGAGAACACAATACAACAAATGAGAAGGCAATATTAGACATTTATAATACAAGTGCGTTAAGCAATGAACGCACCTAGGGGAATAAATTCCTTAGGGGAATTAAAAAAAACAACAACATTTTCTTACCTTCAAATATTTTTAAAGCTTTATGAAACTCCGGACCAGATCTTGCCTTGAAGTGCCGACATAGTGTCGCGAAATAATAGTCGACCATCCATGTTTGAATAACACTGTCGACTTCAACTACATTCGTTTTTTCAGTTGAGCTCGAGATCTCATGAGACGCACACTCCGTATCCATGTTGTTTATGCAGAACACCGAAATAACAACAAACGTTCCCGCCAACTGTTCTGCGGGAGGAGTTTATGACATGGTCTGGCCACAGCGCCCCCTACCGGCGCGGAAGAAACATCATGAGCGACTTTTTGACTTGGGTAGTGAACAACAGCTTTCATTTCTCACAATATCACAATTTAATTAACACTTTTGTGAATTTTATAGCACATTGCTTTGGTCTGATTTTTTCCGTGTCCCCAGTTAGGCCTATTCACTAACTTCCACAATGAAACAAATCATCATCATTCATTTTGTCACGAAAAATAGCAACGACACCTGTAAGTAACGTTAGCCAATTAGCAATGTATTTGATGAATTCTGTGATTGTGATGTGTTGTGGTTGCTGGTGGTTTTTCTGAATCTAAAATATTACATCATGTTTGATAAAATTACAGAAACTGGTATTATCAACTTTTTATAAGAATTGACCATCATGCAAGCTAACATTCCTCACTTGTTGGCCTGGTTTGGCTACTTATCTTATTAAGTATATCATGGTGTTAATTATATAAATGGCCTACTATAATTTCTATCATATTAATTGTCTTATCCTTGTGTAAATAATCATCCAATACCTAATTAATAAAATTATATTTCTTTAAATGACAACATAATCATTCCCATTGCTAGAACTCATATGAACTCATATATGTATATTATTAATTGATATATAGTTGATATACTGTACAAATATATAAACTAAATAAAAATAAGAAGGGAGTGTTCACCAATCCCCCTAAATTGTTCTAAACATGTATTTAGTTTCTTTCTTCTGTTGAAAATAAACAAACAGAAGCCCAAACAGTTTTGACAAAGAGACCAATTGACAAACAGTCAATGGCTACTGTCAACTGTGTGGTTACCAACATTCTTTAAAATATCTTCTTTTGTGTTCAACTGAAGAAAGAAACTCATACAGGTTTTAAACAACATGGGTGAGTAAATGATGACAGAATTTTACTTTTTGGGTGACCTGTCCCTTTAATGACTTATCAGTTTTTAAAATCCTTTTATTAATTGAGTGACAGTGATGTTGGAAGAAAACATTAACATCAAATGTGCAGTTAAAATGATCTACTAAGTCATTTCCTTCACTCCTAAGTATTTATAAATAATACATTTCACTTTTACTCCCTGAAAGAAAAATCTGTGTGGCAAATAAACCAACACTAGATGTCACTGTCAGACTAGTTCAACTCCATGAACACGTTGCTTGCTATCTTGAACCCTGTTATTAGATGACTAAAGCAGTTCAGCTGTGTGTGGAATTCACTTATAACTGCTGTATGCCAGATTTTGTTACATTTTAGTAAAAGCAGAATACAAATTTGCACAAAATCAATAATATAGCTTCAAAACTTCTAACTTCTAAAATTGCTTCAAAAATTCTTTAAGGTATTTCTTTAAATTATTTTTTCTTTAAAAAAAATCTACACGTTTCCTCCTATTCTCCAAAGGAAAAGCACCCTTGAGAAAGCGGGTGGAATGTAGGCTGTATTTGATCAAGCTTGTCATTCATGATACCACCTATTTTCTATTAATTTTGGATTGACAAAGTTATTAAACAAGAAAAACATTCCTGCTTTTGTCTCAGGCTGTGAAACCTCAGAAGAAATTACGTTCGATTTCATGTCAGTCGTGTAAACATGTTTATTGTCTTTTGTTGTTCCTACATCTTTCAGAAAATACACCCAAGAGCAAGCATAGGAGGCATCTGAAGAGCACAGTTCTGTTCAAAAGTTTGCTGTCGGTAAGATGTTTTTATATTATAATCAATAAGATGTTTTTAAATTAATTAATGATGTAATATTGTGAATTATTATTAACTGTTTCTATTTTAAAATGTCATTTATTCCTGAGATCTGAGATGATGACAAATCTGAATTTTCAGTATCATTTCTTCAGTCTTCAGTGTCACATGATCCTTCAGAAATAATTATATGCTGATTTGGTGCTCAAGAAACATTTCTTATTATTATCAATGTTGAAAACTATTGTGAGGCCTAATATTTTTGTGGAAAACTGATTTTTTTTTTTTTGCATGCATAACACAATGATTTGAAAGTGTTCCTGTTTTGCAAGCTAAGTTATGTATTTTTTTGCAATTTTATGCATATATTTGCAGTTTTTCTGTACTATGAAGAGGAAAAGGCTTGAATAAAGACAGGACATGGAAGGTGCAGAACACAAGTGAGTTATTTACACATTTATTTGATATCCTGCATATGCTAGTAGACTTAACATAGACAATGCGGTTTATTTTACAGAAATGTTGACACACATGTACCATGACAAAGTGTTCTGTGATCACATAATTGTACAGACTACTACATGCATTCAAAGATGCTGATATGTGCAGAAACAGTCTGCAGTGTAAAGGTGTCTACGGACATTGAGATACAAGATAACATTTAAACAAACAAAAAACAGAAAAGAAGAGGCAGTGAGAGGAGAGAAATACAGTGTAGCAGATATGCATGGGAGAACAGGCTATGACACATGGATGAAACATTCATATTTAACCTCGCTTTCAAACAAACAAAAAAGAAACGAAAACACACGCTTGCCAAGACAATATATCACACATGATCATGTAATGAGAAACATGCTTGTTCACAGTCCATCAGCTGTTAGAATTCATTTTACTGTTCACACATGAGCAAATTCACACAGACACAAATCCCTTTGCATCTACTGCTCCCATAAAGGCTCATGGGAGATGCTTCTATAGTCATATGATGACATGCTACAGGTAAAAAAGCAGGTGATTGCCTGGTGTTTGAGTTATGAAGAAAACAAAAAGTTTAACAGTACTGACTTTGAGCCCCACTCATTTGCCTTGATTCAACAGGTGCTAAATGGTGTGAAACTTTTATTTGTGCAATATTTGAATCGGAACTGTAATTATGAAATGCTGCAACACACACGAGAGTCTGCTGTTGACAGATAAATACAGTATATTGGGATACCAATTAACAAGATATGATATGTTCAAATGATCAAGGCTCTGAAATTGAATTTCTGAGCAAATGCAAGCACTTATATGATATAGGACAGCATTTCATCTTGCTTAAAGGGATAGTTACTCCAAAAAAGGAAAGTGCCATCATTTATGCATCCTCATGTTTTCTCGCAAAAGATATTTTGAAGAATGTTTCAACAGTTTTATAATGAAAGCCATTGGGGTCCAAAACAACACTGAACCCAATTTACTTTCATTGTTAGGACAAAATATCTTTGAAGAAATTATGTAATACACGTTTGGAAAGACATGGGGGTGAATAAATGACAGAATTTTCCGTTTTTTTGTTGTTGAACTATTCCTTGTTGATGTGTATACGGTACTGAGGAAATTGTAGAAGATTTAACATGCTGAAAAGATATCTTGCTCTGAAATCAAATTCCATTCATTTATCATAACAGAGGTGCCTACAGGCAGTGCTAGCCAGGCACAAAACTGGTAACAAAACTTCATTTATCTTACCCTCGATAATTATCTCCACATAATATTTGGACACTTGTGTGAACGCCATTGAATTTGATACAAAATATCACACCAAGTAGAATTTGCATGCTCCTCTTCTCAACTTTTCTTGATTTTTCAAAGGGATTGAGTCACTTTTGAGTACATTTTCCTTCTAGTATTTGACAACCATAAAGTGTCCCAATTTTGAAACCTAACCCGTCTTTTTGTAAAACGTTTTGCTTTAAAAGTGTGCTTGTGCTATGTATCTTTAAATAAATGCCACTTCATTTGATATTTTGTTAAAAATTCATACATTTTGACCAAATATTTTTGGGGGGCCGTTGTATATATGAGGCATAATAAAGCACAGCAGGGAAGCTGACCGTCCTGTGGGAATGCATGAGATGGGCCATTATTCAACAGTCTGTCAACCAAATTAGGCATGTGATGACATTCTTTTTAAAAACAAGGACAACAAAAGAAACAAACCGATGCTTTCTTTTAAATGAGGAAAACGTAGACATCCACCATATTAGAAGATTAGTGTCGTAGAAAACCTGAGAACTTAATGTTACGCATATCTATTACTTAAAGACCTGATTTTTTTTTCCCCCTATAAAAAGTATAATTTTCTGTACAGTGCTATATGAACAAAGCCAACTTATTTGTAGCCTTCTCATAAATGTTTATGAACAGGCACGTGTCATTTAAACCACCCTATGGCAGGAAATTGTGGTCGTGCAGAATTTTGGTTTAGAAAAAATAGAACCACTGTCAGCATTAATTAATAAAACATAAAATACTTTTCAGGAGCCCATTAAATTATTTCACAAGTTTGTTTTTCATATTTGTTTGTAGACATTTATAAAAGACCCTCCTGGTCGATTTTGTCAAGAGAATCTTGTTTGAAGAGTATAACCCGAGTGATTCTGACGGCAACGCAGTGTTTTTGTAAAACGACAAATCTTTTTTTGAGTGGTAACACTGATATTTTAAATATTAAAGATATATCATCTGAAAAATACAATTGAAGTCTCTGCCTGTACACTTACAAATCCATTAGACTGTAAATAAAGTGCCACAATTCTTGGCCTGCATAGATTGCAGTATGCTGTATTGCACTTTCCACTATAGGGTAACCGCGAGAGCCAGCTGAAGTCTTGAGTTCCTCCTCCTGGTCTTTTCCCAATCTTGATTCGGCCTATTCAGATCTCTCCAAACACAATGTACATTTTGAACAATCAGCCAACTGCCATGCCAAAGCAAGTAATATACATATACTTCCAGCAATCTTGAAATAAAGGCAACATAAAATTAATATTTTCTCAGGTGACAGGAATAAAAAAAAAAAAAACTTGGCCAGATGATAATACATAGGCCTAACTCAAAAGAAAAATAAATATTCTTCAATACTTAGTAAAACTGGACAAATGTGAGTTTCCGTTAAGAAATGACACCACATCTGAATGATACAGAAGTGGTGAAATATGGATAATAATGAAACAACTCATGTGAAAAATTAACTGTAGAGCCATTTACACGACTGTACTCTTGTCAAATAGAAAAAAAGAAAAAAAATTGATGTCTGTGTAAAGTATTGGTCCTTTTGATAAACCAAGAGGTTTTTACAGTAGTTTTAAAAGGGAAATGTGTGAACAATATTTCTAGGTTTTAATGACCAGAATGACCAGAGGTTTTAATGATTTGATCATTGACTAATTGTATCTAAATCAACTCTTTGCTGTGCTATGGTATATTTGAGTATGTAAAGATAAGTTAAGACACACATACCTGCTGTAACCATGTGTTTGTATGATGCATGTTTGAACTTAAAAGCAGGTTATTAAGCTTGTTTTTTTTTTTTTTTTTTGAAAGAAGCTATCGCGATACATAAGTCAATAAATAATTAGCATTTTTATCTACTGTATATTATCTGATTGCTATTCTCTTTTGGCAACTATAGGTGTGTATGCAACTTTAATATCAAGAAGAAAGAGCAATCCATCTGGTCATTGAGTCAAGATTTTGATGCTGCTAATTTGAGTACCAAACCAAAAATAATCAAACCAAAAAAAAAAAAGAAAAAAAAAATCCCCAAATAAATATGTGATATTATAGACCATTCCTAAACCGTAACACAAAACACATCTGCATTAGGTACACATTGCTTTTCTAAAGAAAGTCATGATATGTTTCAATACGTCGCTACTTTGCAGCTCACTATTCACAGTCTTTGATGATAAATTCCCTCTTTAAAACAGAAAAAAAGGCTAACAAAAAAACCCTTTTGATATCTACTTTGCCCTCTGTGCATTTTCATAGCTGTAGTCTCTATATTTACCGTGGAGTGCTCTCAGCAAACTAAGCACCGTAAAACAGCTTTGTTAATATGCATGCTCATGTTCTGACAGTCTCTATAAAATGATAAAACAAGTGAAAAGGTAAAATGTACAGGTAGGTCAACGATGTCCTCATTGTTTGGTAAATACATTCTAAACAAGCCTCTAGTTTGCACCCACATTCTCCAGGTCTCATCTGCAAGAACTGCAGTCTCGTTTGCGCTATTGACAATAACACAATTACAAGGGACTTTTCATGCCATGCAAAAATATCTTTCAGACCAGACCACATCTGCGTGCCTTTTCTCCCCCAGTGCGCTCCATTCTGTCCAAATGTCAGGCCACAGTCACATCCCGGTTTCGCAAGATGGCGAGTGATTGCCGTCCCCTGGCATTAGATGGATCTCCGGCGTAAACATGTGGTTCTCCATCTTGTGTTCAGTTTGGTTGGAGTCTGGCTTTTCCTCCTCATTACCGCTGACTACACCGACAGTGCAGTTCTGCGCTGCTAGTTTGGGTGAGGAGATGGCTGCGGAAGCCACTTCCATTTGGTTCTGTTCCTCATGGTACTCCTGTTCCTCCAGGTTCCCCAGAAGCAGTGCCGTCTCTCCAGGATGGTATCTGCCGGCCAGCATCTTCGGAGAAAGAACCAAGCCTGTTATTGGGATACTACCCAGCGTCTCCGAATCCGAACAGAGAGGAGAGCACTCTCCTTCCGGGGAGTCATCTTCCAGAAGACTGTTGTTGACATCCTGTGGAGAAGAAGTGTTAGGCGGTGTCAGAGGAGCATCCTCTGGCGTTTCAATGAAGTTGACTTTGAGGCCCTTTGTCTTCATTGGGTTTGTGCCACGAATGGAGCTTCTGATGTTCTCTACAATCTCGTTGAAGTTCTCACCATCAGTGTCTCGGTTGACAGTCCCAGGGTTCTCCACGGGACTTATTTCAGAGGGGGTCAGCTGGCCGTGTTGGATATTCAAAGGTACTTTCGGTTGCCTTTGCTGAATTTGCTCTGCTGTATAAGAAGGGCTGGATACCTTCTCACACTGTCCAAATTCAGCAGTGCAGCTTGCAAAGCTGTCAACGCTCGATATGCTTCTGACCTCTGTGATGGCTCTTTCCTTGGGTTGCCCCTCATTGGCAGTCGGGACTTCGTTCATCTCCAACTCTACCTCATGTTTTGACACGGCCACAGGTTGTGTGCTGTTGGTTGTGCTGAGATCCGAGAAGGACAGTGTCTTTGTCATCTGGTTATACATCTCCTCCAGTTTCTGAACGTTCAGATGCTGTGGACTAGGAGTTCTGACGTATTCCCGTGACCCGAGTTGGCCGCTGTCAGGAAACTTCTTGTCGAAGGATCTGAGGCTGGTATCCGAGGATGTGCGCTTTGGAATATCACACCGGCTCGGAGAAAGGTGGTTGTCCATTGGCTGTTTATCGTCATTTTTGTCCACGGCAACGTCCATTAACTCCATGCTTCGTGCGAAGGCATCTTTCAAGTTCATTGAGACAATGCTTCCGTTCCTCTTAGCTCGTTCTAAGGCCTCTCTTCTCTTGATGGCTTTCTCCTGTCGTTTCTGCTCCTTGTAGAACTCTGAGAAGTTATTCACAATAATAGGGATGGGTAAGGCAATGACCAGCACTCCAGCAATGCAGCAAAGTCCACCAACTATTTTGCCAAGCAGAGTCTGAGGGTAAATATCTCCATAGCCCACTGTTGTCATGGTGATTGTAGCCCACCAAAATGAAGCTGGGATGCTGGTAAATTTGGTGGCATCCTCATCCTTCTCGGCAAAGAAGACCAAACTTGAGAATATCATGATTCCCATGGCTAAGAACAATATGAGTAAGCCGAGCTCATTGTAGCTGCGCCTGAGGGTGAACCCAAGAGACTGCAGTCCTGTCGAATGTCTCGCCAACTTCAGAATCCTCAATATTCTCATGATGCGGAATATCTGTACCACCCTCCTCACGTTCTGGAACTGCAGCACACTTTTGTTCGACTCGGTCAGAAAAATAGTGACGTAGTAGGGTAATATAGCTAACAAGTCAATGACATTGAGTGGCCCTTTGAAGAATTTCCACTTGTTTGGTGATGACAGGAAGCGCAGGAGATACTCCATTGTAAACCATGCAATACACACGGCTTCAACGTGAGCGAGTTGAGGATTGTCATTGGCTTGGCCAAATTCGTCTGTGACTTGGAGTTCGGGCAAGGTGTTCAGGGACAGTGCAACTGTTGAAAGAACGATGAATAGAATGGATATGATGGCCAATATCTGCAAGAGAAAGAAAAAAAAAGCTTAAGTTATTATGATTTTTTAAATTTTATTTTGTTTGACATTCTTGGATCATTATGCAAAATGTACAATGAATCTGAAGATCTAAAGATTTTGTGGAGTTTAATATGTTTAGTTAAATTGTGTAATCGCTTATGCAACCGTCAGAGGCAAAAACAAACAAACAAAGCCCTTCTCTCTCTCTCTCTCTCTCTCATGGTTCATTTTATTTAAATCCTTAAATAATAACAAATCAATTTTTTCAGAGGACATTTTAATATTATTTATCTTATCTACAATATATTATTTAATTTTACACTAAAATTGATTTGTTTTTATTTAAGGATATTATTTAAATATTGTTGGCACCAAGAATCCAATTAAAGTTTAAAAAATAGTGACATGATTTGCCTTGAATTCATCCTTTACATCCTCAAAAGCAATCACCAAACTTTCTTTTGGATGCCTGGTCGTGTGTGCTTTAAGCATTTTAAGCATCAAGACCAATTTCCCTGTTCCTATAATAACTCTGAAAAAATTAATAACATAAAAACCATTTTGCTTTGATAAGAGCCAGTCTCCATGCTTGTTCTGTTTGTGTGCCGTTGGTGGGACCGGAAACCATAAAAATAAGGTTTTAAATAAAACCGGCACAAAAATAGCATCCCATTTTTTTGATTACCTGTGTTAAAATGGACCTCAATGAAAGAGCGAGCATATGCCATGCATAACAAACATGGGCATGAATGAAGTGAGACAGCTCTCTGCCCGTAAATGGATTCAGTAAATGAATGAGTGGGAGGATCAAGCGTGAGAAGACCTTCCTGCCCATATTGACCAACTGCAGGCTGAGCTTTTCCAGTAGGAGCAGGTCGAAGACAACAGCCGTCCCTTCACCCACGTATCTCTCACAGCACCCTATCAGCTGAGTGTAGTTCATTCAACATGGATCATTTGTCACCCGTCCTCAAACTTTGTGAAATCATGGCCTTACCATGCTAGTCTAGTAAACAAAAGTATCGCTTTTTGCCTTTTTTAAAGGCAGTCTTGGCAATACTTTGTTCTCTCAATGATTGCTTTTTTTATTCTCCTTAAAGTCTGGCAATCCAGTGAAAGAGGGATTTGGTCATATGTAACTCGAGTCGTCACATGGACTCCTGACGCACTGTGATAATGTTCTTTATCATGTATTCCTTTGTAATCTCCTGCATCTTCAGATGTTTTGCAAGATTACATTGATACGAAAACAAAATAAACACAGGTCTCAGCTTCAGAGCAAGTAGCATATTAAAATAATGTAATTTATAATTAAACGTCTAGAATGTCTGGCCCCTTTTGCATAATACTAAATGGTAAATAAATGATTTAAGTATCTAATATTAACTGATAAATGTAATTTATCTTCCTTTACAAATATTGATTTCTGGCCAATGTAAAACCACATGCTAATGCTCCATTTCCTGTGGTGAACCATGACTCTATTACATACAGTAGATGTACAGACCACACTGTAGTTGAAGCCGTTGTGTGCGCTGATGCGCCAAGTACACTGCAGCCGTTAACGTCAGACAGAAGGAGATTCACATCACCATATGGAAAGAAGCGTAAATGTATGAAGAATCATAGTTTACTGTAAAGCTACGTCTTAGTTTGTGCTTATCTTGACCAAGCCAAGTGCTAATCAACATATACTCTCGTGTAATGGAAATCATGCACAAGTAATAATGACTTGCTTTGGTATTTGTGAGGAAAAAAGACTAATAAATATATTTTTAATCTTCAGAAGTATCAAATTTTAATATAAACCCCCCCCAAACATTTAATATACATTATAATAAGTAATATTGTTTAAATGTAAATGAATATAAAAAAAAATGGTTACACCAGATGAAAGGTGACTATTATTCTGAAGGCGGTCGAGAGAAGGTCTCCAGGAGTATTAGGGCTAATGAATCAAATCATTCCATGGCAGGCTTAGAACCTTTTATAAATGAGAGAAAGATTGATATTTATTACGAGAGAGTTCTCTCAATCATCTCTAGCGCAGTTCGGGTGATTCTGAAGGCTACATAGCTTTCTCTGACCTTGGCGTGTCAGAGGAGTGAACAATCTCCTTTCTTTTGAAGAATTCTGTCAGGATTGTGCCACTAATGCAATCAATAGCAAGTTTTCATTTAGGTCATTTTAAAATTTTACAGTAGTATGTAACATAGTCATTGCCTAAATGTATCTATAAAATCCCATTAAAAAGCGAACATACACCATTTTAAACAATAAGTAACTGACCTTTAAATAATCTCTGCATTAAAGCGAAAGCAAATTTAAAATATTAAAATCGTTTTTTGGTCTGTGTGAGCACTCACTCTCTGGAACACAACAACCAAAACCAACAGGCTGGATAAACAGCAATCTTATTGAAGACGCTCTTTCTCTGAGAATTCACAACCTACACCACGCTTTTGAACAGTAGTGTATAAAATATTTTGTTTTAAAATATGCTGCTTGTTAGGAAGTTTGTTCCAAAGTTTTGGTGCTAAATAGGAAAGAATCTACCGCCAGCAGTGGATTTTGATATTCTAGGTATTATCAGTTGGCCAGAATTTTGAGATCGTAATAGATGTGAAGGACTATAATGCGTTAAGAGTGCTTAAGTACTGGTGCGCTAAACCATTTAGGGCTTTGTAAGTAATCAGCAATATTTTAAAATGTATACGGTGTTTAATAGGGAGCCAATGCAGTGTTGACAGAACTGGGCTAATATGGTCATACTTCCTGGTTCTGGTAAGAACTCGAACTGCTGCGTTTTGGAACAGCTGTAGTTTGTTTATTAAGCGTGCAGGGCAACCACCCATAATAACATTACAATAATCTAGCCTTGATGTCATGAACGCATGAACTAACGTGTTTGCCTTTGTCATTGAGAGCATATGACGTAATTTAGATATATTTTTCAGATGGAAAAATGCGGTTTCACAGATACTAGACACGTGACTTTAAAATGAAAGAGCACACCCAGGTTCCTAACCGACGACGAAGACTTGACAGAGCAGCCATCAAGTGTTAGACAGTATTTTAGGTTATTATGTGAGGACGTTTTTGTTCAATATTTAGAATCTTTGTTTTTTCAGAATTCAGTTGTAAGAAATTACTATTTTTTTTATATCAGCTTATGTGTATTCCGTTACTTTTGTGAATTGGTGAGTTTCGTCAGGGCGAAGAAATATAGAGCTGAGTATCATCAGCATAACAGTGACAGCTTACAGAGTGAACAGCAACGGTCCTAGTACTGAGCCTTGTGGTACGCCTGCTACGCCATACTGAACTTTTGATTGATAAGATATCTCTTCATTTACTGATACAAACAGATAACGGTCAGATAGTATGATATAAACCATGCTAATGCAATTCAAAAATAATTTTCAAGTCTATTTCAAAGTATGTTGTGGACAGTCAATTGTATCAAATGCAGCACTAAGATCGAGTAACACTAATAGAGAGATACAACCACGATCGGATGATAAGAACAAATCATTTGTGACTCTGATAAGAGCTGTCTCAGTACTAAGTACTGTCTAAATCCTGACTGAAAGTCCTTGCAGATACCATTTCTATCTAAAAAGGAACATAGTTGTGAGGATACTGCCTTTAGTATCTTTGACAGAAAAGGTAGTTTTGAGATCGGTCTGTAATTGACTAATTCTGTATATATTTTTTATATATATATACATGCATACATGGACCGCATACATGGTTAAACCATAATATAAGGCATGCTCAAGACCAAAGAGCTGGCAAAGAAGAAATTAGCTAATGCCTTTTATCTCAGTCCACAAAGCTCCTGCTGTTCTACATTTTGTAAAGCAAGAGCGCTTGTACTTCAGGAAGTATTATAATGAGCACTCGGTGGAAACCTATTAGCAGCATGTCCCATCAGTCAAGCATGGATTTACTAAGGAAGTGTGAAGTCATGGTGTTCTAGGAGAAGAAATGCAGTCTCACTTCTACTCTCATGAGCAACTTCAATCCCTTTCCGGATTACAGCAATAGCAATGTGTCCTTTCTCTGTACGGCATGTTCAGTAGCTACTTGTCTACAGACAATGTGTTGTAAAATTCATTTTGCTACTGTATGTCATACATTTTATTTATCCTCCCACCCAAGTACTTTCTTTCAAATGGTCACATGCTTGCACTTCCCAAACAGCTGGAGCCACTTTGAAAATCACATACCCACAGGCAACATTACAGAGAGTGGGGTCAAGTGAATACGGACCAAAGTGCCTGACCTTATTTCAGTGAATCCTATAGTGGCCAGTATTAACTTAAATGAAGTGGGAGTTGTTAAAGTGATAAATTGCGTTGTGCATCCATGTCTGCTTCATGGGTTCATTCGGATAATCCCGGAAAAAGGACCCAAGGCGCTCTCATTCTGACCCAGGAATAAGTCTGCAAGGTCGCCCGCTTCTGCTTGTCCGTTTACGTCATTGCCTGTAGTTGTTTTGGCAGTAACAAAAGCTATACGATCAGCTTTTGTTAGTCAAAACTGTACAGCTTCCAATAAATCTATACAATTTTGAGTTTTGAGATTAAATGTTTTGTACAGCATGTGATGCAAAGACAAATGCAACAAAAAGGGGGGAAAAATCTCTAAAAAGACCTGCTGTAAAAAAATGATTGTGATTTTAACAGTAAAAGACTGTAAAAATGCGACAGTGAAAAACTGTTAATTGGTTAACAGAACCTTTCCTTACTATATATGGTAAATAACTGTGATAGATCTCATGGTAAATTTCATGTCATTTTACTGTAAAATACTGTTAAATTTACAGTTTTTAAAGTGAAAATGTACAACTCATCATATAATTTACAGTGAAAAAGCGTAAATTGACATTCCCACAATTCCCTGCGTGACACTCCACACTTGATGTATTTTTGTTGAAATAACTTGTTTCTCCATAGTTTGCTTAGTCTTTTTCTAATCAGTTAGGTACATTAGGGTTT